GAATAAATACAAAAGAGTTTGTTGCCAGTCTCTAAAAGAGAAAACATATGATTTTGTACTTATTCTACAAACAATTCTTTAAATAGACTATAGACGTGCGAAACCGAAACGGGTGAGTAGTATTATAAAATAAAAACTATATACTAATATTGTAAAGAGGAAAGATTCGATTTTTTGTATGTTTATTTGTAATGGATAAACTCAGAAACCATTGAATCGATTTTAATTTTTTTTTACTTATAGCAATCAACATTATCAGCGAGTAACATAGGCAGGGTACTATTTAAAAAAATGGAGATTTTTACAAAAAAATACAATAATAGAAACGTATAAGACATCATTTCTATAAACCTATCTTTCAAAAATTTTTATTCGATATCTCAATCGAAATTTTTATTTTAAAGATTAATATAAATTATTTATCTAATAGATTTAAGTCAAAATCATTACAATTTTTATTTATAATTGTTTATAAAACAGTAATGTCGCGAAATATCAATTTAAATTATTAGGTTAAGATATAAGTTTAAAAAATGGCGCTTCAGAATTGATTCCATTGTAATCTAAAATTTCAAAAATTTGCCTATTAAAACTAATATAAAAAAACTAAAGTTTCTATCTATATAATAAAGTTCTGCTCCAAATTTGCACGGGTATATACATATTTTATCTGTGGAATATAAACTATAATTCTTTATTATACAGTATTACCAGAGGGAGACTTTGTACAAGTCGTTTGCTTGGACAACTCTGTCCCATTCGTGTTTCTACCGTGATGCAGTTGTTTGCATTGCTGTTTTGGTTTGAAGGATGAGATATGGCGGCGAATTTACAGGGTACAGAGAAATTACACCTGAGTCCTCAGAAATGACAACGCATGGGGGATATCATGGGCGAAACAGTATACTCTGTTATGTCCATGGTACTGCTCATGTCTATAGGCGACGGTTACCACTTTTCTTCAGATGAGCCGTCAGTTTGTTTGCCATTCTAAGTTGCATAAAAAAAATATATAAACATTTTCTTTTTTTAATAGTAATACCATAGTTGTACCACTAGTAGCTATAACGTAGTGGGATAGACTAAATATAGTACAGTTTTTATACGGGTAGTATCCTCTGAGCTTGAGTTTTCAGGCTATATATTCGGTATTAGAGAAATTTAACTTAAACGAGAAGATGGTTTTACTTGTCTTCAGAAGTGTATGACAATCGTTTTTGAACTTTTTTTGCCTTAATTTGATAAGGTAAAATATACAGAGGAAGGAGAAGGATTGTTAGTACCGGGAACTAATAATCCTATATCAATCCCCCAGTTGGGTCCACTAACTTGACTTTACTTTCAGCCCATAAAAAAATTAACTAAAACTAAGAAACAAAGTACAACATGTATGTATTATAAATTGTTTATTAAAAAAATAAATATTTTAAAAGGCAGATTAATTGTCGTTCACAAACAGAAATTCTATTATTTATTTTATCTATTGTTTACTGGTCTATTTTTTTATTCTAGAACATAATTTTTTTATATGGCCGCCCCCAGGATAACATTAAAAAAAACTACTTTAATTTTTAATGTTTATTATTATACAAGGGCATCAAACGGGAAAAAAAAATATTATAATGTGCAATCGTCAACTGATATTTATCTTATTTGTGATGTTGCAAGAACTAGATTTGACTAGAACTATATCCGCCATGATGGTATTGCCAGCAAATTCTATATATACTTTACCAAGCATATTATAATTAAAATGAGATGTAACAATAACCCCTAATTACATATATCGCAAACAGTTTGCAATAGTAAAAAAATGTTCGATACTTGCTGTCTGTATTACCTAAAAGCCATTAGTAAATAAACGTTTATGTTGCTTCTTCAGATTGACGCGATTTAGAAACTAAAATTACTATTATAAATTAAAAAAAAATCTATTGTCAATTAGTATTTAAGATCACCGTTTGTCAGAGAAAAGTGCAATAAAACCATGTAGCAATTAGAAAAAAATCATTTTACGTAATACCATTATGTTTAACAAATAACAAACGATCACGAAATGATCGCGTGTTTGTTAAATTAATCGGCATGCCGAGTTATTTTTAAAGTATGATCGTATTATGAGTGAATTGAAGAATATTAATACAATCTAATTGGCAACTACCGCTTTTTGGAAGACAATTTAGAATGGCAACACACATCACCACTAACGCCTAGCGTTTAATTTCAATTTATAGATAAGTTGATCGCATCGCAAGAGATGGTTAAAGAATCTTAAATAAATTAAACTGTTATTTCAATATGAGAAGTATTTATTAATTAGTCGGTAAAATAAAAACCTATTTTTAATATTGACATATTATTTTCGTAACATGAATGTTTTATTAGATTGAGCTACAGTCCAGACATGTGTGATGTAAAAAATCGTGTTGGACCTATACATACAAGGTACTTTATTCCTAGTTATTCAGTGGAGTACAAAATTTATTTAGGAGGACTTCTGGATCCGTATCGAGGAAAAAAAGGAGCATTGTCACTTGAATTACATGTAATAAAGTCCACACATAAAATTCGAATTACATAACACGTCACATTACATCGCATACGTTTAAACACACCTTTAAATCGTTGTAATAAAAGCAAACTGCTTTTGTCCAAATCACACTACTGTGAAAAGTCTACTATAATTATAATATTATGATGAAATAATAAATATTACAAAAATATATTACAAATAATATTACCCCAACACTACGATACGCTGATATACGTCACATATCAAATACAATTTAATAGGTAGATCTAATATTCTTCAATACTTATGATTCTAAAGTAAAATTATACACTATAAAGATATACGATCATAGTGAATTTTTTTTTTTTATAATACTGAGGTGGCAGACAAGCATACGGCCCACCTGATGGTAAGCAGTTTGTATAGCTCATGAACGCCTGCAAACCTGGTATTGCAGGCGTTCATGAGCTACATTATTACGCGCGCGTTGCCAACCCTAAAGAAACCTCTTTACACCCATTTTGAAGAACGTAATACTGTAGTCTCTTGGGAAAACCTCGGCAGGGAGCTCATTTCATAACCTGAGTATTCGTTGGAGAAAACATCTCTGAAAACGCGTTGTACGCGACCATCTAGGATATAAGGTATGAACGTGAACTTCCTGTCGATGGCGAGCCGTACGATGGTAGAAAGTGGGAGTGGGCATCATATTAAACAATTCCTTTGAGCACAAGCCGTTGTACAAGCGATAGAACACGCAGAGTGAGGCAAAATCTCTCCTAAGACTTAAGAATCCGATACCGCTTGTAAGCCTGGGATCACCAACAATTCTCATAGCTAGTCGTTACAACAAATCAAAGGGTTCAAGCTGGTATCTAGGTGCTCCCGCCCATAAGTGACAGCAATACTCCATGTACGGCCGGATTTGCGATTTGTAGAGCATTAATCGTTAATCCGGCGTGAAGTAACGCTTCGCTCTATTAAGCATACCGACTTGTTTGGATGAGCTTCACCTCGTCTTCGAAGTGGCCAGAATAGAACTGAACGTCATTAGAGATATCGACATCAAAATTCCCATTGCAAAGATGTTAAGAGACGTGCCCTGGAATTGTGGAGCCACAGCAAATGGTTTTTTTTTTTTTTTACCGGTGAACGTGCAAGCTTGTGGTTAGCGGGGTTAAACTGGACTAAGTTTTGTAGTCCCCAATTAGACACTCCACCGATTGCATCCATATCGATTCATGATATTAAAATATTGTTTTAGAGATTTGAAGTCGTAAATATCTCAAGAATAGCCTAATAAAATTACATTTTGTTTCTACCCTAAATTTATGAGCTTATGAGCTTATGTCCTTAAACAAATTAAAATTATCATGAGGCACTTCAAGGTAATCAATGAAGAATGTAAATATTGAAAAAGGAACACGTTTAGTAATAAGACTGCCAAATTATATTTATACAAGTGTATCTATTGTAATTGCCGTGTGTGTGTGTGTGTGTGTTTTTTTTTTCTTCATTTTATATAATCCAATTATTTATTCAATGACCAAAGCGCTACTATGACTGATTTATATGACAAAGATAGTACGACTACAACGTAACCATAGTTTATAAATCATAATAAATTATATATATATATATATAATATATATATATATATATATATATATATATATATATATATATATATATATATATATATATATATATATATATATATATATATATATATATATATCAACCACGATACACTAAAAAAGAAATTAGTAAATACATTAACTTTTTAATTGATCTATAGTTACAAAGAAATGAAAGGATAGAATAAAAAAAGAACTATTTTACAGTCAGCAAATCCTATATAAGACTTAGTTCGAATTTTTTTTCTTTTTTTTTTGTAGTACCTATAATCACAACTTGAAAAAATAATGGAAAGTAATAGAATGAACACTGCTGCTTAAGTAGATTTTATTCTAGAAATTTGTTATGCTTAATAAAACCTTTAGTCCTTTATGTCACATTGTTACAAGTCCTTTCTTAGTTCGCTAATTACCATGAACACATAAAAGAGTTTCACTATAAATATGTTCCTGCCTTTGTTTGATGTCTAGATATAAAAAAAACACGTGGGATAATTATCGTTTCATCGTTTACATTATTTCTCTTATATTTAGCTACTACCAGCCGTAATTAATTAGCAGTAGCCGAAATTACGTGTCACATACATATCAATACAATATAATGTCAAAAATTAAAAAATCAGAGGCATTAAAAAGGTCGTTTTACGTGAATTATGGTTAATTTCGTATAACCCGCCAAGTTAAATAATTGTACTCAAGACAATATTAACAAACCATCAGTTTCATTTGCTGATTATATTATACAATTTATTTGAAATGAAATTCGCGTACAATGAGTTTTTTAACCCCGCAGAAGAATAAGGATTTGATAAACCCTGTTAAAATATTAAACAAACAAAAAAAAACTAAAATATAAACTCCACTGATATATCTTTTAATTCTATAGCAAATAGCAGTAAAGATACAGAGATAAGTAGGAGTAAAAATAGATTCGCTTAAAATCAGTCAAATACACCTGATTTCCTTAATAACTCGCTGAGACCACTGAATTCATGGTCGATGGCCGCTTCAAACCATAGTTTGTTGTCGGCATCTCTGTAGTCTATGGCGTCTAACGGCATATATGTGTATGGTGCAAGAGCTATATGGTTTCGTAAACTTAGTAATCCATTAACATTGGGTAACAGAGATTCAAGTTTTTCAACTAACTGTGGATTCATGTCGTTGAATACGATGCCAGTGTCACGACTGTCGAGTGCTTCTTCACTGTATAAACAGTGGATCAAATCGAAGGTATAACCACCTAATATTTGCATTTTCTGCATGTACACTTCATCTTTCTGCATATTGTTTGCTTTCAAGCTTTTAGAGATTTGTTTGTACCTGAAATATGAAAACAACATACAATAAATCTCTTATTAGAGATAAGTTCGCCTATGTACATTATATTTAAAACTAATTGCTCCTATTATTATGTATTGCATGTGGTCCCGGCATAGAATAGGCCACCCTATCCTTTCCGGTGGGTGTCGTAAGAAGCGATTAAGGGAGGACGAGGGATGAGCAGCAGCGTCCCTCTTAAAACATCTCTAAAGCCTAACTGCGATTGTCGACCCGCCTGCCAATCGTGGCAACTATGGGCAAAATTCCCCAAGGGAAAGGCTGATGTGCAACAGTGGACAGTTAAAAACTGATATGATAATGATCATTATGTTTGTGTACAATAAAGAATAAAACGTTGTTCTCATTCTTGATTTAGCTTTATCTTAATACTAACTGTAATCCGCGGCGTCGCCCGCGATTGTATCGTTACTTAAGAAATAAGCTTTTTTCAAATTAGCTTGTCACACTGCCACATGTCTAGATCATTCTAACAAACAAACATACTCTTCCGATTTATTGTATTATATAGTTATAAAAATCTTGTGTCACAATATTTCGCCTAAATCATTATAAAATTTGGTATATGTGTATTGTTTGTTTCAACTTGAGAGACAGGATTTTTATTATCCCTGTAAGAAAAAATTAACCCGGTAAATAGTGGTACAGGATAAAATAATGTTTACCAGGACGTCAACTGTTAATTACACAACTCTTACTTGATACTTCTTGACATACAATAACGTACATCATCAATGACGAGTAAAATAAAAACTATTTTAGAATCCTTTTACAAGTATGTTATACCTATGAATCTTAATACTTTCCTAAAGAAAAGTAGGAAATATGTGCAATATATTTGGTAAACATTTCCTATTTTTTTTTATTTCACTCCATATATTAAGCACGGTATACATACAAGACTATGAGGCCAGCGAACTTGTCAAGCAATAATGCTGACGGGCTAAGTAAGGCGAACGCGAGCTGCAAGCGGCCCGGCGGCGGTGCGGCAACCACGCGGCGGGCGCTCGCGCGGACTACACGCTCCATCGCCAGCGCACCGCTGTAGGCCGCGTACATATCTTCTGCAAGTTAAATTTTAATTAATTAATATTATTGAAATATATTTTTTTAATGAATGATAATGCTGTATACGCTGGCAGGGAACAAGTGAGGAATGATAGGTGAGAATGAAAAGGCAGGCCACTAAGCCCATCGTGATGAATACATCTGAAATTCAACACGATGGTTTCTAGGGGGAACCACGTGAAGGTCCCTTCCCCCATAACCAAATATATTAGACAATGGCCAGATGTCCATTATTTAATATATATCTAGATGGGACTAGATAATCCCATGCTAAGTAGATCTTATACTATGTGTGTGATCTTGCAGGTCGTGTATACGTCAATGGAGCTATTTACTTGTGATTGCACTAGACAAATGTGATTCACCGAGACTGCTTTTAATGATTTCAACAATTCAGGGTTATATTCAAAGTTACATAACTCATTTTGCCAAAAAATGAAATTAAAGAAAAAGACTTGTTCTTCAGGCTCTTTTAGGATAGGACATGAGTCATCTCAGGACTTTATAAATGTAATCTGAATGTTTATATGACAGCTAGTCACTGCAACAATGATAAACAAATCTGTCTATATATATGTCCTATGGCTCACATAAATGAAACCACTGCTCATGAAATATTTTCCGAAATAGGACCAAACGAAACACTTTTATATTAAAATTTCTTTCCTAAATACATACCATTTAAAAGTATTAAAAATGTTAAAATATTGTTTCTATGAACTGTTATAGGAGAATTTAGGATGAACGAAATGTTAAGTTCCATTTACGATGTAAAACAACCACGAAATTAAGGCAGATAATTCGGAATTTAATTTCATAGTAGAAAAAGCAAAGTCTAACAAATATATAATTTTATTCTTTCTCATGTGTACACTAATGAAAATGTTTCTAATGATGATTTAGTTTACCACTTGATTAGAAATGCAAGAAAAGAGTAATTATTTTTCTTATGTTACTTTAAATGTCAAAGCAAGATTAATAATAACAATAAATACTATGAGTATATACATACCAGGGTTTATTTGTAATGCTTTGTTACATAAATCGCTGATGCTTTCAGCAAGGTGTGGCAGAACTAGCGAGTAATTCTCTTCATCTGTTTCCGTACTTATAAAGTGGTGATGAGTTTTCATGCTTGAGTACACCTGTGAACAAATATGAAACGTGCAATACAAAATAAATACTTTCTATTCCTGTAACAAATATTTTTTTCTTAAAACAAAACAAAATTAAGCACTGGAGAGTATAAACTACAATAAATAGAGTGGAAGCTAATGAAATATGAAATTAAGGTTCAAATTGTTTTTATTACAAAAATTTTATAAATATTAATTAAAATGGGAATGCCACAATCAATTTCCACAGAATGCACCTGAAAACATTTATGATTAATTACTAGTAAACTCATCATGATTGGCCAACTGACCTGATAGCATCCTCACTTGTGCCCCGCCCATGTATACCAATAGTGCTAGTGGGGTTACCATTTCATTATCATGAATTAAAAATACTTCAGGGTATACTTACCAAATTAACATACATATTGGATAAGCTATTCAATATTGCACACTGCTCCATTGAATCTGCACGCAAATATATCTTAATAAATAGCTCCAGTATGGACAACACCTGTCCTGGACTGTCTACACTAATCCATTCTAAAATCTCCATGATCTGAAAGAATAATAATTTAGGACATAAAAAAATTATCTTATGTTCATTGTAATATATATATATATATATGTGTGTGTGTGTGTGTGTGTGTGTGTGTGTGTGTATATATACATATATACATATATCCCCTCAAACATCAACTGTTCACTGCTAAACATAAGCTTTCCTCATAATGGGAGTTTTACTAGTATTTACCATGTGTGGCAGACAGATTAACAACTGCTGTTAGGCTTTTGGAGATGTTTTAAGAGGGATGCTGCTGCCTATCCCAAATGGGCTGGTCTATATATATGTATAACGGGCCATCAGGTGGGCTGTATGCTTGTTTGCCATCTCAGTGGTATAAAAAATATTATATAGCTGTCATGACTTAAAAATACAAACAAGTTAATAGCCTGGTTAACTGGTAATCATACAGAATACTAGACAGTGCTAACTTAATTTTGAAGTCTTATGTCACTGTACCTAGTAATTGTACTATCATATTGTTATGTGCGAATGATGGTTTATTCCAATTAAAACTGTTTATTCCAATAAAAGCTCAGCTGTATCTCTATCTACGGATGTCATTTTTATTATGATTATTTTTCTTATGGACTTTTTTTAGACAGATAATGTTATATTAAAACGTTCATTTTAGAAAGTACTTCTAATCACCTCTGGAAAATAATCCTTTTCATTCCAGAAGGGCAAGAACTGAGTAAGAAACCTGGTGACGACAGGCAAGCCCTGGAGCATGGAGCGTTGTAAGAGAGCAATTCTTTTAAGGAGATCCTGCTTCTCAACATAACTATGAGGTGAACCATCGATGAAACCTGAAATAGAAATTATTTTTTTTTTTAGATTATGTTATATATATATATATATCTTATGTTCGATATAATGTAAACAATTACATACTAGCAACAAGCTACTAGTTGTCGACAGGAATGTCATGCAAACACTAAATTGTTTCTTAAAATTTAAATGATTCATGGCATAGTTTGCTTTGCAAACACTCAATTTATGGAATGAGATTTCTGCTGAGGCTTTTTTTACAGCATGGAGATCTACACAAAAGAAAGTAATAAGATTTCATTAGGCTAGCACATGTGACATTACCAGTGTTAAATGAAGGTGTACATAGGCTATAATAACTATATACCATTATCCACCACTGTTGTCACTATGGTTGTATATACATGTTGAGTTGGTAAAGCCGGGTCACCTACTATAGTAGTACCAACAGATGCTGCGATATTATATACTCACAGATGAAGAGCAGGTGATGAAGATCGTGCGAGAGGAAGGCGCGATGATGTGGAGGTTCCAGCGCCAGCAGACCGGCGGCGGCACTTCCCGCCTGTTGCAGCAGCGCCCGTAGCCTTGCCGGCCGCGCCAGCCGCCGCTGCAGCCGGTACTGTAGCAACGCGCCCATCCTACCACATCATAAACCCATTGTTGTATTTCAAATTATTTTTCAAGAAGACATATGTCCTTAAAGAAGATTTATAGTGTATTTTCAGAAATGTCATTGGACATAATGTGTCCTATTTAGGTCCTGGTAACCCTGTTTAGATCCTGGGATGACCACAATCCACCTGGCCGCCTTACATACATCTATGAAATCTGATTTGAATAGGCAGTTTTTAGCTAAGAAAATTACTATAGATACTTACTCTGTAAAGTCAAGATAATTTTTTAATTGTGCTTTTTCTGAATATTGTTTTGAGCCAACATTTAGAAACTCCATATTTGGTACTAATGGTTCCACCTTCTTGTTCCTAGCTCGTTCCTAAAAACAAAAGATTTGTTTAAGAAATAATTTTAGGTATTCTTTTTTTAAATTTATATACAGTTATATTTACCAAACTTAATGGATTCACCCATAATAAATGATATCTGTCTTTAGCCAAATGATTCTTGCGCTCCTAAAAGATTAAATACATAAAATTAATAATTAATATTAAAAGATTACATGACAAATAATAACAGACTAAAATAAAATATAGTACCTGACATCTTTTAAATCTTGTAAAAAGTGTAAAATTGATTTTTCTGAAAGCAGTATGTATAGACATAGCTGGAACATCCTCAGGAACGCATTCAGGCCTGTAGGATTTAAATAGACCCAATAAAACTTGCAATTGTCTGTATATATTCTGTAACAAAATATATATAATTATGCAGTACTTACATTTAATATATTTCAATTACACATTTCATAACATGTTTTCATTCATTCATAAATTATAATTTCAAAAATTCGCAAGATATTTAATTTAAAAAAAAGAAGTATTCAAACCTTTTTAGCCTGCCTTTTGCCATAGTCAATCAGTTCAAGTACCCTTCTCCTGGTTACATCAACTGGTTTTGTCAAAGTGTATATAAGTTTCATAGCATGAACAGTCTGAAATCATTTAAATATAAAAAAAATATTCCATTATTAAGGAAAATTAATAAGACAAACATATATTAGTATAATTATTTCACTTATCATCACTATATCTCTATCCTAGTGTTTAGGGACTTTTTATAGATGAAACCAACTTTTTTCTTAGATAAAAACAGAATGATAACCCTGCTTATATTATTGGTTTACAATAATGAGGACACTTACATTGATAAGTGGGGAGAATGAAGACAAGTCAGTTGGCCAATCATAATAAATTCATAAGAAATTAAAACAAATGTTGTCCAGAAAGTAATGGAGCCACTACACCCCGTCTCACCTCAGTAGTGAGGTATATTTTTCATTTTCCCCAACCATAAAGAATGGATTTATCTTATATATATTAATAAATGGTAAACAATAACCTGTGGTTTTTATTCCTATAATTGTTTTTCATCAAATTTCATAACTTTATTTACATTATAATATGTATATAAAACTTGTTGCATGCTTACCAGTAATTCATAAGTTAACAGAGTATAAAATAATTCATATCCTGAATCTAAAGCAGTCATGTCAATACAATCACAATCCATTGCAACTGTAATACAAAAAAAAATGCAGGTGAATAGAGAATCTCTTACTCTTTAAAATCAATTAAAAAGTAACAAACGACTACCTGTTAACCAGTCGAGTAAGAAGCCTATCCTGGACAAAGTAGTCTGGTTTTGACAGTTAGCAAGAAGCCAACGGAAGGAATATTCCACAGTTCGCTCCTCTACTCTGTCCGGGGGTACTAAACACGCACCCAAACTGATCCATTTTGATATAGCTATAAATAATTCGATTATTGAATAAAAGTATTATTAAATTGTTAAGTACTGAAACATCGTACACTACCCTACTTTTGTAATTTGTAGCAAAGGTCCAATACATAAATGTTATGTTATTGAATTAGTGTAAATAACGGAGATTACTCACGTATAGTCAAATTTAACCAGAGTTTAAACAATGTATGGAAGTCATCGTAATCCAAGCCCGTCGTATCAACAACATGAGCTAACTCATTGATTTTGCTTTGAAACAAATCCTTGTCAAAACCCTTCCTAAGCGATTTTATGTAATCAATTATCTCATCCACGTCTGCCATTAGTAAACCGCAAATTATAATTCACTTTGCAAACACTCAACTGTAATCAACAATCAAAACACAACAAAATTAAATCTAAAATACGTTGCTTAGCATCTGAAGCTAACTGACAAACTGATAGCATGACATAAACAAGCATTAACGACACATCAATCAATCAAACAAAATATAACTACTGCACAGATTATATATCCTATTTCTTTTCATTATCTACTGTTATTATACCTTTAATTTTATTATTTCTTTTATTTTTAAAAGCCTCAAAATAGTTACATTTTTTTTACTTACAGTTGTAGGCTTCCTAAATTAAATGTCTGTTTAACAAATCTTAAGAAAGTACTTTTAGTTATGACGAGAGTTATATAAAGTTTAATTTAAATATTAATTGAAACTGACATAAACTACTTACCGAAGTAAGAAACTGTTTTCTTAGACAACTTTATAAACAGCATTAATGTCAAGCGTTTCAAAGTTTATGGTTTTCTTTTTTTTTTTATTAGTATTAGTGTTACTACATAAAACTTTCTCCCATTATTTTGTATTTATTATTAAGGATAAATTAATATCCTATGACTTACAGAACTATATATATATACATATATGTTTGATATGATTTATTGTTGTTTTGATAACTATTATAACAATAACTTTATAATTTTAATAAAGTCTGTTGTAGTGTTACACTATTTATTTGTTTAATAATAACAATATAATTAACATTTATTCTTAATAATTATAAAAATAAACTGGCAATAAAGATCTTATCAAAAAGTTCTTTTATCATTATGCTACAGAACTACAAAACTATTAAATATTCCAAGAAGCTAATGGAAATATGAATGGAACATCAATGGCCTTTACTTACCTCTATAAATATCTCTTCATTTGTTTCTTTTTCATCATCATCATTTCGACCATTATCCGTCCACTGCTGGGCATAAGTCTCCCCGATAGATTGCTATTAAGAACGGTCCTGAGCCACCTGCATCCATTGACTCTTTACAATCCATTTCAGTTTGTCACTCTATTTAGTGGGGGTCGTCCTACACTGCGTTTATTTATTTCTTTTTATTGTAACTTTATTAACCATTTACAATAAAGAAAGGCAAAAGTACAAAAATAAGATTTAATACTGAATTATCTTATCATTATAAACTAAAATAGCTTCCAATCTGCTTGCGAATTGCCTTTTTCCTATTCTTTATAACCTATAATCTCTTCAGTATGTTAAAGAAAAGTTTTAATATTTAAGTATTCTCGTAATCGTCGCTCCAATTATAAGCTGACGGTCCACCTGATGAAAAATGGTATAGACAAGTCCGTCCATCGCTTATAGACAAGAGCAATACTATAGACATAACAGAGTATACTATTTCGCCCATAATACTGTTGTTATCCATCAAAATATTTATTTCATTTACAAATTAATTTTGTTAAACCAATGTACCGACATTTATTCTCTTTGTTTAGTGTAACGGTTGACTGGTAAAGAATGCCATCAGACAATCTACCCTGTACCCATATTTTATATAGGATCCATATATAGAAAAAAAATATTTATATTATAACTATGTAAAATTAGCTATATACAGATAACGGGTTTCTGCTCTAATAAAAAATTCTGTTCTTATAATTTTATATAGAATTGATCACTATTAATTGATAATAGACGAATTTGAAAATAACAATTTAATCTTTTCGGTAGTAACTTTTTTAAACTTTTTATATCTTATAAAATATAATTTATGTTTATATATCTTATATCTAATGACTGTGAAACTAGGTTAAAAACAGTTTAACCGTTTATATGTGAAAGGTAAACCAACAAATTTACTAAGAAAGTTTAAAATTACCATCATTATCGATTTAGTATCTCATATATTAAATATCATAAACTATTATTTTTATTTGTTACATATATTTATTTTCGCTCACCGGCATCCGAATATTTAAAAAAATACAAATTCCAGTTTGTAAAGGAATTTCAAAATTGTTAATGGTATCCCTATATCCATAGACAAGACGCAAGCCGTCTTCTTTCTCGAAGTGTCAAAAATGAACGAATTGTCGTTTGAAGTAAACAGTATGGATATTTGCCAATTGGATTATTTATAAAATATGTTCAATTTATTATAATTAAAGAGTGTTTTATTAGTGTTTAATAAACACCGTTAAAATGTGGCCCATGCTCTTAAACATGACGCGCGACGAATGTCGCCGTACGCTTCGTAGACTTGGTATATACATTCAGTGTTTTAGATGGCATTCATTTCCCTCCTATAGTTTTCTTTATATAAAAATCTTTCCTTTAGAACATATATTGCATTATTTATATTTAATACACCGATACTAATTCAAACATTACATTTTTATTTACAGAATTGGAAGCCTACTCAAATATGATCAGTGTGTTTAGAGCACAAGGGCCATTGGAAGAGAAGAGAAAAAAGTTGCTTGAGGAACTGCGCGCTGTTTTGCACATAAGCCACGATCGGCACAGCGCTGAGGCGCGCCGCGTGTCCAATGACGAATTATTAGCTACAATAGCAGAGCAGTAAGAGCATATTTTTATTTTCTTTGTAGGGTTGTTGATTTATTTTTAAACACTAATGCAGAGAGTTAAAGATGGCTGAGAGTCAGTAAAGCATAGGTATTACACTGTTTGGCTGGATTATATAGACTTGGCAGGGGATAATATTGGTTTAGTCTTATGGAAATTAATTTATTTATGTATATTTTAAAAAGTTATAGTTGATGTTTTTGATGTCTTAGCCACATAGATAAAATTTTTGGTTACAAATGTCAACAATTATTTTTTAATTACTTGATTTACATTATACTTTCATTCTAAGAAGTATTTTTTGAATTGAGTTTATATTTGACATATAACCTATATTAATTTTTTACAATTTAATTTATAAATGTATATAATGTAATCCTAGAATGTTTTTTCTTACAATAAAAAATGCTAATATTGTTACATATGTAGGAATTTATTATTAAATAAACATTAAAATGGTTGTAAACATTATAATGTAGATAAGAGAATATAATTAGTAATTTAAAAAATTCCTATTTTTTCTTTTTCATTTATTTCTATTGAACAATTGATGTTTGTCAATTGTATATCTTAATTTTTATCAAATATTTAATAAATTTTATATTTTATTTCAAGTATATATATATATATATATATATATATATATATATATATATATATATATATATATATATATATATATATATATATATATATATATATATAAATTACCTTTATAAACACTGAAGAATAAAATTATAATTGCAAATATTATGGCATAAGTGACTACAAAAAAGACATATATAAAATTTAAATTTGTGAATTTGCCTGTATTGACTTTTATTCTATGTTACATCTTCACCTACTCTAAACAGATTTAAATAATTATGTAATCAATAAATTTAATGAACTTCTGTATTGGTTTTGTATAAATTTTGTTATACCTGCACTATAGTCACAGAGCAGAATTTTAAATTACATTTTACAATTTATTAGAAATATATAAATTCTGTTTAGATAATTATTAATTTTTTCTTAATTAAATATTTCAAAATAAAGTACATTTTAAGCTTTTCACAAAGAGTTTACAAAAAATATATATTTACAATTTATTCAAATGCCAATTTATTCATATAATTATTTACATTGCCTATGAGGTTATCAATTTACTTGTTTAATTAAATAAAAAAGCTTTTTTGCCATTCTATGTTGTATAAAAAAAATACATTTCAATTAAAATTTGAACTTAGACATATTCTAAGCATCCCAAATATTTGAAAATATTTTTAATGTATAATTACTATGCATAAATATATAAATTCCAAATGCATAATCACATTTGGGGTTTATGTTGATTCTATACATTTAATAACTTAAGACCAATATTGTTACAACATATAATAGCAATAAATGATTGAATTAAATTGAATTGAATTTGAAAATCCTAAATTACTAATAGGTAGAAAAATTACCTTTTGATGACTCAGTCTATTGAGATTTGAATCTGGGCTTAGTATGTTACCAGTTACATCGTGGACCAACTAGTCAGGCTTAATGAGGTTTGAAAAACTATTGGAAATTTACTTCCTTTTTTTTTCAGATTGGCTGGTCCCAATACAGGTTTAGCATGGATATGCGAAGGCCGCCGTCGTGTACCACTCCTGCCTCGCGGCATCGCCCAAACGATGTACACAGAGATGGCCGATAAGGCTGCAGAAGTCACCATAGAAAAAAATAAGGAGCTTCAGAAAAATTTGGAAGCTGAGAAACTTGTAGCCCCAAAGTCCAATGAGGAAGAGTTAGCAGATGCAGAGGGACAAACTGCTGAGAGTGCAATCCCGTCAAATGACACAATGGACGAAATTTTATTCCCCCCTATTGCAATGGAGGATCAGACTACTAAAGTCAGTATTCATATATTAATGTAAAATAAATGCTATAATTAAAACAGAATTGTTCTATATTAATTTATCAATACATAAGTATTGCATATAAATATTGAAATTTAAATATGATTAAAAATTCATTATTACAATACTTGCATAAACATGTAAAAATTTTCTACTAAACATGTATTTATTGCAGATATGGGAAACAGAACTTTCTGGTCGTAAAAGAAAAAATCCTGAAAGCGGTGCAATCCCAGATGATGGCACAACACCAGTTAAAAACATGAGAAATATACCTGTAAACACTAATCAGAAACATCTCAATCTATCGCAAATATATTCAAAATTCTCTCAACCTGCAACTAGTAAGACTTTTTATTTTAGCTCTCATTTTTAGTACATAATAAATTACACATATTTTAAAGTTATAAAGGTATCAGAGATGTTGTATAATTACAAAATCTCTGACTTCATAAATTAATCATTGACAAAAACTAATGAGTACTACTTGATAATAATTATTATATATTATACTTTATAATAATAAAAATATTTACTTCACAATACTAGTTACTATGCATATTAAAATAACTGTTATTTGTATTTCCGTCAACTCACCTAATAAACTATTTTTTTTTTTATTGCACAGGTAAACCATCGGGACAATCAAAACATTCATATAATCAAGTAAGCAAAGTATCCACAAGTAAAACTATACAAACCAATACATCACGGCCCACACCACATAAACACAGAGCACATAAACAATCTGCCAAAAATGCATCACACAAAGTGCATGCGAAAAAACAAGAACTACCTGTATCACCTAGTAAACAGTACAATCCAACGTCATTGCAAGTTGAATATTCCGGTCCACCAAATACATTTCAGGCCACTTACGCGCAATCCATTTTGGGTAACAAAAACAAAACTGACTATATGGACGAAATAAAGCCGAAAGTTTTGTCATCACCGGGTATGGTGACTGACTCTCCTACAATGCAGCTTCTAACGCAACCTGCGACCGTGCCCCACGAATTGGCTGTGCCAGAAAATGCTCACCCCGATGATCCCAGCACACTCCAAGCGCAAGCTACACCAACACCTAAAACAATGAGTGGCAAACCTTGCCATCTAATAATAAAGAAACGCGGAGAAGTAACTACTGACAAAAAATTACAAATGTCGGAGCTTAAAATACTGCAGAAACCAGCTGAGGGGCTGAAATTGTTGTCAAATCGACAAGTGGTTGTGGCGACAAGTTCTGCGCAAAAAGCTTTGTCTACATCGGGGAAACTGGTTACAACCAAGGTAATTGGTTCTATACCGAGAAGTCGAACGTCGACTGCTTCGACGCCAGTTTTCACAGATAAAATGATCGTAGTGTCAAAACCTTCACCTGAAACTAAAATAACCAGCTCTAAAATAATACTAACATCTGGTGTCAATACACCAGCAAAAGAAGGTACACCCATTAGTTCAAACAACATGTCTCCCAAATGTACAGAAACTCTAACACCTAAAGGTATACCTGCAACAGATTTGAAAGTTTCTGCAAAAACTGTTGTATTAAATCCAAGATCTGGACAGAAAATGCTTGTGTTGCCAGCTAAAGCCCGAACGAAACCGGGCACAGAGGGCCAAATGCCATTATTGCATTTTAAAGGTATCTCTACGGCCATGAAATTGGTACCAGTTAGTTCACAATGTATAACGCAAGTTACAAAGTCAACAGCAGTGACCGTTGTTTCGAAACCCACAGTTGTCAGTGCTATGTCTTCAAATACAAAGATTCTTGGTATGGAACCTATAAAAACAGCAAATTTGGCTGACATAGTACCCGCAAAAGGCATGACTCCGGTCACTACACCTAAGCTCACTAACCCAATAGTTCGACCAACCAGCAGTAAAGGTGTAATAGTAGTACAAAAAGGAGCAGCGATCGGCAAGGCCTTAACATTTACAAAAAATGGTAATGATATGTCAAAAATAATTATGGGCAAGAATGTCAACCAGTTGTTACAAGCGTCTAAATCGGAACAAGCAGAAGCAGCCAAATGTGCCGGCAATGTAATAGTACTCGAACTTAACAACGAACAAACAGGCCGCGCAACTACAATGTCGGAAATATTAGATAGCCGAGGATCGAATGTAGCCCGAGCTCCTGACGAAAGTAAAAAGATAGCTACAATAACACAGGACACACCAGTACTATTCGAGAACCAGCTACATGACGACACTTGCAATCCTAGTAGTTTAGATTCTACAACAGAAAGTATAGGCGGCATCGTTCCGATAGAAGAAACCGGTCTACCTTTAATAGAAAAGGATGAAGAGGCTAAATCGAGCTACACTAAGACTTCTGAAGGTGGTAAAGACTCGTCGAGTGTCACTGATTGGGAGATGGAATTAGACACTGTCTCAAGGAAGCAAAAAGATGATGATGATAAACTAAATTCATTGCATTTAGATCTGGGTATGTCTAGCGATAGTGAAAATGATTATATGGTGGATAGTCATAAGCACAAAAGCAAGCATTCAACCCAAGACAGCATGCAACGAGCGACTCCTAGTGGTAAGACATTAGCATAATTAAAGACTTTTTAAGTTCAAGTGCCTTCATTTTCTAACTAGATTAATTCTTTTAGGGGAGAGCAGTGAAATCTATAGTAGTTCGAGTGGATTATCGCTCGCCACGCGAACGTTATTGAGTCAACTACAAGACGATGGCTCATCTAGCAACGACTCATCTTTCGCACTCAAATCAAAACCAATTGAGAAAATGAAAGAAGTCGACTCGAAAATTGATAAATCGGAATCAGACGCGTTGACGAAAGCAAAAGAGAAGCTATCGGAAAAAGTTGCCGAGGCCAAATCACAACAGAAAAGAATAGACATATATAGTACTGCAATCAGTACATCGGACATCAATTTGGAGTCGTTCTCATATCTGGACGAGGGCATGATGGCGGGTGATGATGTGTTTGCTAGTGAGGAGTCAAAGGCGCGCGAGTCGCGCCGGCCAGATCATCTTGACGATCAGCTCAGTACGTTACTTGGAGAAGACTCTGCCAACTCCACAGATTCACAAACTGTAAGTGAAAGTTTGCCTTTAAGTAAGTGAGCAATAAACTAAATTTAATATGAGAATGGTTAAATGTTTCTTTAAAATGTAATGGCACTTAAAATTATTCAACGTAAATGTAATCTGAAGTGTTAAAAGTGATGGACGGCTGTAATCTCAATTATTATATTTGTTCTGTTCTTAGTCACACAAAGAGACAGATAGGAATGTACCATACAATATATTGAAATTTATTTGAAAAAGAGGCTTTAAGGGAAATCAAAACTATTGCAATTTGTAAATATATACTTGGACAAAAAATATTTCGGAAGTTGCAATAATAAAACTTTTGTCTATATAGTGAATATGTAAAAAGCTCCCTTTTTATTTGTATGAGCTTGGGCCCAGTCAATGTGCACTGTGTAATAAAAAATCCAATTCCAAGTATATTCGAATAAAATATCTTTTCTTAAAATTTAATTTTCTTACACAAATTTGTATATGAAAATTTGTAAGTACAATCTTCAAGATATGATGGAAATAACAAATTGTTTTTTAATTACTTGAAATTATGTTATTTTATTTTAGAAATTCATATTCATGTCTTTTGCATTTCTTCTTCTTCTTAAGGTGCCATCTCCTACAGGAGGTTAGCGATCTTCATGGCGATCTTGACCTTTTCCACCGCCATCCTGAAAAGGGATCTGGTGCTCATTCCGAACTATCGACTTAAATTTTTTAACCATAAGACTTGGCGTCTTCCCGGTCTTTGGTGACCTTGGATCTTCTCTATATGTTTTGCTTTTATTAATATTAATTTTCTTTTTCATCTTTTTCTTTTTTTTTCAATCTTTTTTGATACTGTATATTTACTGGGCCCAATATGACAGATCTCCTTTTGTATCACATATTTTACATCACATCACATTAGAAACCTCTATAATTATTAGTGTTTCTCTACTATATTATGTACGTATTATACATATAAACCTTCCTCTTGAATCACTCTATCTAAAATCCGTTACGTAGTATTAAAGATCTAAGCATACATAGGGACAGACAGACGGAAAGCGACTTTGTTTTATACTATGTAGTGATTACAGTAAAACAAATTCCATATTATCTTTTTATGGGACTATTTTTTCGTAAAATTATATAGATACATATTTTATCAGAAGCAAAGTAGGTAATTTAAAATTTTTTTTGATGGGTGAAAATGGTATGGTACCCCCGCCTGCGCTAACGGGATTCGCTGGCGGAGCACTAATGAAGGGTGATCGAAGAGAATGAAAACAGGCCAGTTAGCCCATCATGATGAATTCATCAGGAATTAACTACGATAGTTTCCAGGGAGAACCGCGAGGAGGTCGACATGGTTGGGTATATTGCTAGCAATAGGATTCTCACTCTCCATTACTAGCAATCCCTTTCCCCCCAAAGGTAGTTTACAATTCGATATTAAAAAAAACCCTTGTTTTACCTAAGAATTCGAGCGAAATTGTTATATAAATAACAAACAGAGCTAATGGTTAAGAGCGTTCATAACGAAGTATGGTAACGTCGACATAATCGGCCAATATTCAAAAACAATTGAATATTGTCTATATACATATATAACGGGCAATTAACAAACACATCGTGTTTTGCATTAAAAATAAACATGAGTTTAAAACAAAAATAATGTAATATTTTTTAATATTTCTGATTGATTTTATTTAAAGTACTCTGCTATATAGTAATTTAAACATTAAATATGTCGCATATAAATCTACCGCTAAAAACTTTGCACCTACTTTATATTGCAAATTTGCTTGTAAAATTATTTTTCGGAATTTTTTATTTTTGCTATCAAAATCCATATTTTCAATGACAACTTTATATTATTCTATGATTAACTTTTCAGTTCGCTAGCAGAGAACTTTTTAAGTAATCAGGACTAAGAGACATTGAAAATTGTTTTTAATAATTAAAAATTTCTATGGGACCAATCTGTAACTATACCTTTTCAGTTAAAAATAGAGAATTTTCCAAATCGGTTTAGAACTGACGGAGTTATGGGGCAATAAACATAAAAGAATATAACCGAATTAAGGACCTACTTTTTGAAGTCTAAGTCTAATTTGAAATTTAAATACTTTTCAAAAAGTGACGCTAACACACTTTGGTCAGCAAGTTACGAACGCACTTAAGTTTGATTTATTTGTGATCAAACTGGGTCACTTTATTTAGATGCTGTCATATATTTATCATCGTCTCAGTGTCTAAGAGTTCAGACATGTGTAGTAAACAGAGTCTATTTTAAAATAGAGAAATGGGAAGAGCAATAAGGCAGATTGTGAGGCGCCAATTTCTCTAAACTATTTCTCAAATTAAAATTTTAATTTGATATTACAGTGAAATCTTTATTCTAAGGACCAATATGAACTAATTTCTAATCGTGATCCTTAATTATGAGCGGCTTGTGACGCAAGCGCGAGCATGACTGCGCGCCTCGGTCCACTGCTCGCGTTTTACTCTTAATGCTCGCATTCAATTCTTATATGTAATAAGAGACAGTAAAATAATTGAAATGGCTGTTAGTGTTCTGTCAGTTTTCGGCATTACAAGATTAATGAGTGTAGCGAAGTGACAAAAAATTTGACTCGTTGAATTTATTAAAATGAATTACAAATAATCAGACAGATGTTTGTCCTCCTTATTTTGATCATATGTTAGGTATTTCTCGATTTATTATACTATAATATTCACGCGCAAACAAAGCAATTAATATAAACCATTGTAATATATAAAAAAATTAATTATTCAAGCGACACATTTGAGAGAACGCCTAAACGGAATGTGAAAGCGCGAGGTCGGTAATCCTAAATCAAAGAGTAATTAATTCAAAACAACGTTGCATTTAAAAACATAAAAAAATAATTACTTCTCACTTTATAATCATGTTTTTCCGTTAATAAATGATTTGTAGCCGGCATGTTAGAAAAAAACCCGGACATCTTTTTTCAAGCGTAATCTGTATGTCTTTATTCCTTTGCTTTTTTCGTTATTGATAAAACACTTCCAACAACGTTTGTTATACTGCATATCAACCGATTCTAATTTTTCAAAGTTAATCCAGTTATACTAATAAATATATGTATATTTCTTGTATAGATACAATTAAGGTGACTTCTGAAGTTATATTGATTATGTTACTAGAAATCTTGATAGAATATAAAACTCAACTACTGTAAATAAATTGATACCAGTTATAAAAATAGCGAATTTTTGTGTACAATATAGTTAATAATGTTTATTGCTCAGTCTATTTAAACTTTTTTGTAAACTTGAATTTTCATTATTGTTTTCGATGCTTACATAAGTATAGAAATAATTGTGTGTGAATGTATGAAGCGTACCACGATATGTAGCTATCATCAGACGTTGGACTGTTTACCGTGAGTTCAGAGCTCTAACAGAAAGAAAAAGAATCACCAAATGGAGTTTTATATTTGTGGCGTCATGGCCTAGGTGTTAGCAAACTGCAAAACGGGGTACCCTTGATTCTGATCCTTGGAAAGGTCCATTATTATTTTATTATTGCGTTAAATCGTAACAATAACAACCCATGAACGTACGAATAGAATTTACAATAACATCTTAATAAATACGTTGGCAATCAGGCCTTGCAAGAAGATTACGTGCATCTCGTTCACACGCTCGTGTCGCGTGTGAATTGTGACATAAGAATTTGTTATATGCGTATGAATTTGTAACAGTCTTCTTTACCCATGCGGGGTTTTTTTTAATGCGTGAAGATATAATGATTACCGCGCCTGCGTTATCGTCTTACGCTGAGGGGCCATCAGTGAGGAAGGACAGCAGGTCGGTTAACTCATCGTGACGAATTAAACAAGAATTAATCATGATGGATTCCAAGGGAAACCGCGTGGAGGTCGACCTGATAGGGTATATTGCTAGCAATAGGACTGTTAAACCTCATTATTAACATTCCTCCAACCCATACAGAGTTTGAAAGGAAGAAGCAAGTGTTAATCCTACTTAGTTATTATTATTATGCTATGCATAGTGTTTTGTTTATCTTGTAACCCTGACCAATACTCAAGCGGAAAAAGGGATCTAACTTCCCTATAGTTACCAATATAAGGTTTATTATATATTAGGCTGATCTCCATACGGTTCGCCCTCTTAATCATCATGGTTAATTATTAATAAATCCGTTAAATGGGCCAACTGACCTGCTTCGTCTTCACTTATCATCCTTCATTGGTGGCCTGCCAGTGTATATGGATAACGAAGGCGGGGTACTATTTGATTTTCACCCATTAAAAAAATACGACATAACGTCACATCACATATTTAAGAAAGCTCTAGAAGAAAGTGGTTCTCAGTTCATATTTATTTATTTATTTTTACTACCTTGTGCAATTATCTGATGCGTCTTTTGTTACATAAATAACTGAAATTAACGATAAAACAGGTTACATTTAACTTTTGTGTATATTTTTGTCAGGTGCTTATAGATTAGATGGGAAATAATAAATTATTTTCATATTTATTATAACTGTGCTGGATTTACGAATACATTTTTACGGGTTTATTTGGAACCTGTATATACCTGTGACTGTTCTTATTTATTCTAACGGTAATTTATTATTGTACATTGAAATAGAATTGATAAATTTTAACATGATTGATATAAATTTGTTAAAATGAGTATAATATATAATTTCCTGTGTTAATGCTGTTCTAGACGATTACTTTTTTATAGTTATAATACTTAAGTCATTGATGATTGATTTTCATCTAAGTACATTTGTATATTTTTGCTGTGATGCACAAATTGTTTTAATATATGTTAAAAGAGCATTAGTCATTTTAAATGTGAATATTTGTAAACAAATATAGATGTTTCTTACTAATCAGCCATGAACAGCTGAAAAGATTAAAAAAAAATTTAATTACAGTTCATGTCATTGAGTTACACATAATTTTATTTCGAAAATACGTTCACAAAGGATCATTTATTTTAATAAGAATTTATTAGCTGCGAGTAAAAACTGTAGACTATTTTTTATATTTTTTCGACTTATTTGACTTTTTATAGATGCAAATTGTTAATTAAAAAAAAATTGTTATAAGTATATTCATGTCTATTGCATTTCAGGAAAGGCAACAATTTCAGAATGCCATTAACATGTCCAAGTTCATACATTTTTTTATTGCATTTACATATTTAAAATGGTCGAAAAATATAATTTATATATATATATGAATAATAGAAGTACTGTTTTAAAAAGAAAGTGTTAGAGACAGCATATAAAGGGTATACTACATTTGTGAGATGTCGGTATAACTCAAGCTATGAATGTTTCGAATTTGTCTTTAAGGCAAAAGGAATTTGAGACATTCCAACAGGTAAAATATTCATTTACCAATAGCATTTCTTATGTCATGGACAATTAATGTGTTGCGACCAATCACAGCAAATTTTACTGACCGCTATATGCCCTTTCCATTCTTGTATTTTATAACATCTCAATTTTTTATTTTATTTTAAACTCATACAGTTACGGTACTATGACGTCTTAATAGATAGTAATATAAATAAAATGGGGCAGTTTACATATTTTTAATACGTATTTTAAAGTTGACTAAGAAAAAAAAATAGAGATGTCAAAATTGAACGAATGAAAGGGCTACAAAGGCGAATGCCCGACTCGTACTCAATATGACTGATTCTAATATATTAATATTTAATACCAATGTCACCTACCTAATTAATATTTTAACCTGTAACTCCGTCTCTTATCTTCCATTTATTTAAATAACGCTACAAACAAACAAACATTTTATTGTTAAATTTGTACCTATGAACCTTTCTACTAATTAACAGCAAACAGGTTGCATATTAATTTTCAATGTATATCCGATTCTCATGCGCTATTTCTCTATACATATTTCTAGAGTTAAAATTTCAAATAACAGCGAGATTTTTATTCTAAGGACATATATAAACTAAATTTACAATAGATTAAGCAAAATTATTATAAATTTACGATAAAACAGTAATTTCGTAAAAGAATCAAATTAAAATAATAGGTTGAAATATGTGCAGAAAAATGGCGCTTCAGAATCGACTCCAATATCATAAAACATAGTATGGATGTTTAATATATACTATCAGTATAGCTGTAATAGAGTGAAATCTCCAAATAGATCCGTGTAAGCAAGTAACCTTATTAAGGAAGCCCAGTTATGTTCAAATATTGAATTATTTATTACACAAAGTAATATATTAAAACTATGATCACGCATTAGACGTATCCTGTATTTGTTTCTCTCTCTCTCTCTAATCTGTGGTGTAAGCCCTGTGGTATATGTATGCGCACTTAAATGGAACAAGAGCGTCGTTTCAACCTTTTGATTTAGTTCAATACAAAATACAGAGAATGTTGTACAAAATGGACTCTTGCATATTACAATATTTATTATTACTAATAATAATAATAATAAATAAACCAAATCCCACTTGTATATGAATGGTACATATTTCTTGCTTTAATACGAATGGATATTGCATTCTAAAGAAATAGTGCCATGTAGTTTATTGTATGGAAGATTTGTACATATTATTATACTATTTTTATTGAAATATCATTGACAACTGTCAACTTATGTTTTTAGTATATTTTGTATCATAATAAAATTGTATGAAACAAGCATTTTAGATGTGTAACTATCCTACAATACTGATCTAGTTTAGTTATAATGTTACTGTTTACATCGATTTTTGATGTGGATGCAGGTGAATATGTTTAAGATTGTATTACACAAGCAATTGTATTGCGGATAATGTGTTCCCGTTATATATAAGTGGTCCTATAAGGGCTGTATTGTAATTCTTGTATAAAGTATACAAATTATTGTTTATTTTTTTTTTTTAAGCAATGTTAACGATTGACCTGCATCAGTTTTTTTAGATAAGGAGTTCATTTGTTTGTCGGCTGTAAATATCCTGCGTAGTATTAGTATTAGAATCACTGAAAACATATGTTAATAGAATTTCTGTGTTTTTGGCATCAAGTTTATTTTATCTACTTATTTTAACAATAAAAGTTTTAATCATAATAACTTTTTTTCCTATACAGCATATAACTTTTATAAAAAAATATAAAAAAAAACATATCAACATAAAAATCAACAGCATATATTTTAATTTTTTGAAAGCATGCTCATGATGAAAATCACATTTTCACAAACCTTAAAGTTTATAACAATTTAAGTAGATATTTGCAAACATATGTATAAAAAGTTTCAAAATAAATACTGTGCTCCATACTCGCGTCATGTAGCGTGACAATACTTATTCTTATGGCAATGAGGCGTCCAATTGATATGTTTTTACGAGGTGACCTTATGGATAGATTCGGCGACGTAATTGACGTTCTTAGAAGAAATACCAGCAACAGAGATGCGCCCGTCCTTGGTCAGGTAAATATGGAATTCCTTAGTTAGCCTTTCCACCTGGAAGTTACAAATAATATCAGTTACTTAAAAGTATTGATTCTTGTTCAAGAATGGTATAGTTTACATATTATGCTAGTGAAATAAAACCTTTAATGGGGGGAAATAGAACTTAAACAACTAAATAACGACATGCACCTTAATTTCGTATAAGGTACTTTTATTCTAATTTATTTATTCTCTATTGGCCACATTACGAAAAAATTTTTGGTACAAAAGGCTAATTCATGCAGGCATAGTCGTAAGTACCCAAAGTAAAAGTCCTTTAAAATATTTTGTTACTATCACTGCTATCACTTCAATTTACCACCGAACTACGTGATGAATACTAGGGTTTAATCCTTATGTAATGAAAATTCTACTCAATGCGAAATCCCAAAGAGAACTTTTCAAGTCGTTGTATAGTGATAAATAAGCGCGTGCGTCATTTTAAATCTTGTCGATATTTTTTTTTTTTTTTTTTTTTTTTTTTTTTTTTTTTTTTTTTTATGCAACTTAGAATGACAAACAAGCTGACGGCCCACCTGATGGAAAGTGATAACCGTCGCCTATAGACGAGCAGTACCATGGACATAGCAGACTATACTGTTTCACCCATGATACCCCCCATGCATTGCCATTCCTGAGGACTCAGGTGTTATTCCTCTGTACCCTGTAAATTCACGCCATATCCCACCCTTCAAACCGAAACACAGTCATGCAAACACAACTGCTTCACGGTTGAAACACGAATGGGACAGAGGTGCCCAAGCAATCGACTTTTGTACAAAGTCTCCCTCTGGTACTTTTAGGTGAGCTAAGATAAAAGATTTTTTACTTCTTTTGTTTGTAATGATAACTTGAATTACATAGATATCTAATAGAAGCGATGAATAATGTTGAGCATTTTGTGTGGGGATCGAATGTCATCGTTCCTGTCTGTGTCTTTTTTATTAAGAAGTTTAGGCTGGCTGTGAGTCTAAGTTAAAACAGATTTTAATATCGAATCTCGAATTTACACATCCATAAATGTATTAAACGTTATTATATCAATCACTAAGCTCGGTAGTAGAACAATTTTAATAAGTATGGAATACTTTTAGAATTTATTTATAAATAGAATTTAGTATAAGATTTTGCAAACACAAAATCGATGGCATGAGATTTCATGCATTTCATGAGTTTTGTATAAAAAACAAATTTAAATGAACTTTCACAGAAAAAACAACCATTTTAGATATGTCGCGGAGCTTCTCAGACGACCTTCGTAAATAATAATAAATAAGCGTCATGCGTTAGCTATATATAAAAAATATGTGTAATGGATAAATTAAAAAAATACAGATTTTCATCTATAGAAAGCTACATAATTAGCGAGTAACATGGCTGTATTTTTATTAAAAAAAAAAAAAATATCTGCCAATTTACACGTGTGTAGATAGGTAGATCTCAACTTTCGATCCGGGGTGCTACGCTAGTTGCATAATAAGGTCAACTTATTGGTTCACCTCTTCCGGCTTGAGGCCGGTGTAGCAGAACATGCCGATCTGGTCGGTGACGTGTTGCCAAGATCGCTTGTTGCCGGCGCCCTCGATGCCCGCGCGGAGCTGCTTCCTCATAGAAATAATGCGGTCCGCCATATGTTTCACATCCACCAGCCTGCACAGTACACACAACTCACAATATATTTGACCATCTGGAATTCTGGGCGTTGATATATCTTGCGACGTCCAGTTTTGCGGTCATCTGGAGGAGAAGGCTAAGATAGCTTCCAAAAAGTTAGGAGTACTCAATAGGGTGAGACGATATTTCATGCCAGAACACCGCCTGAAATTATATAAAGCCCAAGTCAGGCCGCATATGGAATACTGTTCTCACCTGTGGGCAGGAGCGCCACAGTACCAACTCCTTCCGTTAGACCGCATTCAAAGTCGGGCGGCTCGAATTATCGATAGTCAACGCCTTACTGTCCGACTCGACCCACTGAAACTGCGCAGAGATGTTGCATCTCTGTGCATCTTCTACCGAATTTATCATGGGGAGTGTTCTGAGGAATTGTTCGGATTGATACCTGCTGCTGATTTTCACCACCGTACAACCCGCCACAAACTAAAGTTTCATCCCAATCATCTGGACGAGTGGCGGTCTTCCACCGTGCGTTTTTCAAGGCACTTTCTTCCACGCACAACCATTCTTTGGAATCAACTTCCAGCAGCAGTATTTCCGAACCGATACGACAACATAACCTTCAAGAAAAGAGTATATTCCTTTTTAAAAGGCCGGCAGCACACCTGCAATGCCGCTGGTGTTGTGGGTGATCATGGGCGGCGGTAGTCACTTACCATCAGGTGAGCCGCATGCTCGTTTGCCCCCTGTGTTGTAAAAAAAAAAAAAAAAAAAAAAAAAAAAAAAAAAAAAAAAAAAAAAAAAAAAAAAAATTTGACCATCTTCATCACCTTTATTTTGTAGAAGATGTAAGGCTTCCTATGATTAGTTTTTTAAGGTTTTTTTTATACCACTGAGGTGGCAAACAAGCATACGGCCCACCTGATGGTAAGTGGTTACCGTAGACTATGTACACCTGCAATACCAGAGGTATTACGCGTGCGTTGCCGACCCTGAAGAAACCTCTTTTACCTCCTTTTTGAAGAAAGACTGAATGCTTAAAATGAAAAACAAACTGACAACCCGCCTAAAGGAAAGTGGTAATTTTCGCCTATAAATATTAATTTTGACTTTATGGAGAGAGAATTGTATTAATGGTGTTTAACGGCCCCATTGGGGCGAAAGGGATTGTCAATAATGGGGTCTAATAACCCCATCATATCAGCCTTTAACTGTCCACTGTTGAACGTAAGCTTCCCCATGGGGGGTTTAGGTTTTAGAGATGTTTTAAGAGAAATGCTGCTGCCTATCTCTCTCTCTCCCTTAGTCGCCTTTTACGACAACCACAGGAAAGGAGGGGGCAGCCTATTCTATGCCAGCACCTACACGGCCAGCTCTAATGTGGCTTTCTGTTGATAAGTAATATATTTACCACTGCTTTTCGATCTCTGGATTATTGAGGATCTCCTGCACAATGCGGGCTCCGAACAGCGGCGGGTTGGAGTACATGGTGCGAATCATAATCTTGACTTGCGACATCACCTTGGCAGCCGACTCCGCGTCACCGCACAGGAATGTGAGTGCACCCGCTCTCTCTCCGTATAGACCTGGAGCCGGTGAATGTGTTCACATAATACCACAATATATATTAAAGTACAGTATGGACAATACCAGGGGGAAAGGATTGTTAATAACGCGAACTACCAGCCTATTGCTAGCAATATGCCTTAGCAGGTCGACCTCCACGTAGTCCCCACTTGAAATTATCGTGCTGAATTCCAGATGTATTCATCACGATGGGCTAACTGATCTGCCTTTTCATTCCCACCTATCATCCCCCACTGGCACCCCGCCGGCGTATACTGTTAGCGCAGGCGGGGTTCCCATTCCATTATCATCCATTAAATAAAAAATATGAACAATATCTGCCGCCCACGGCGATCTGACTCCAACTCCTCTCAACACGTCAGCTACCATACACCACTAGATGTGTCTAGTCTACGCTTCAATAGCCGCCTATGTCAGAGAAGGATAGAGCATACAATATCTACAACGTATGAAAACGATAATGTGACGGCACAATTCACATACATCTAAGCGCGCGCTTTTCCCGCGCTATCCCTAACTACACACGCACACAATGTCACATGTACAGATGTGACTTATTTCTGTAGTTGTTACAATCACAGATCGTGGCGTTTTTGTATAAATTGTACAGGGTATGATGTATGGATGAATGTTTTTACCCTTTCATACAAAAATACTCGATTTAGAATAAAAGTTGGTACACGGTTTGGTTTTTTATTCTACACACATAGGATTTTTTAAAACTGACTAGTTGGGGGGAAGGGATTGTTAGTAATGTGGAGGTTAGTTCCCGTTGCTATCAATATATCCTATCAGGTCGAGTTCCACGCGGTTTCCCCTGGAAACAATCGTGACTAATTTATCGTTGAATTCGCCACGATGGTTGATGGACGCCACCAGTGAGAGATGATAGGCGAGGATGAATCACGATGGTTTCCAAGGGGAACCGCAAGGAGATCGACCTGATTGGGTCCTTTTTGACAGTAATGGGGTTGCTAACCCCCATTATTAACAAACCATTTTTGTTATAGTCGTAAGTACATTTCTTTTTTTTAGATACGATTTTGTGATTTTTTTACACAACCTGATATGTTCTATTGCTAGAATGGGATCTCTTGTCCCCATTACTAATAATACTCTTCCACAACCAGTTTTGTGGTTTACTTGTAAACTAGAAGTGATAAGCTGATGTTGGTATTAAGACAAGTGTTGAATAGATGGAGATTCTATTTTTCTAGAACTCAAAATATGTAAAAATGCAACAATGTACAAATTTATACATCGCTAATCTATTCCAAGAACCTGTATCTGTATCTGTATTCTATACAGAGAAGAAATAAAAGATGTGTTTATTTGCTAAAAAAAAACATAATGACAACAAATTTAAGCTTGATAACACATTACATGAGTCGTAGTAATTAGATTTGAAAATAGAATTGTGATAGAATTTGATAACAATTACAAGAGAACGAATAAATGTATATTATATATATACATTTAGTCGCAGCATAAACATTATTAAAACATCTAATGATAAAAATAAAACTTAATCTTATCTATAAAATATCTTTTTTTTTTATCTGAGTAAACATGTATTTCATAACATGTTATCTTTTGTAGAAACGAGGTCAACAGTGAATAACAGTTATTAATCATAGAACAAATATTTTCACTACGTTATTTATTATATTTACTTGTTTATAAGAGACATGTTAGATCTGTCAAGTAAACTTAAGTGTACAAAACTGATTGTATTTTCAACCGACTTTAAAAAAGGAGGCTCTCAATTCGGTTATATTTTTTAAGTTTGTTACGTCATAATTATGAGGTAACAAAGTCTTTATTTGAAAGGATATACTTACAGATTGGTCCCACAAATAATATAATATATATAGTGATAAGTATAGATATAAATAAATAAATAAATTAAGGATAATACATGCGTTCCTACGATTTAAAATGTAACATGGCATTTTAAAGCAATATTCAAAAGGTTCTCGGTTCGTTTGAATATTTCTATCGTATAATCGTGTGTCGGGGGGTCAGTAAACAGAACAACCAGTTTCTAGGAAATTAAAAAAATTCAGGTCTTAAATCGGGCTGACCGGAAATACCGGAATCCCGGAACCTTATTTACGCAAAACAAAGTGCCATCAGTTCGTCCTTTCTTGGTACGAAACAAATTCTATACGTAAAAAGTAAACATACAAATTTATGTATGTATTTACGCATAAACGTACATACGTACGTATGTACGTACGTGCGTGCGTGCGTGTATGCGTGCATGCGTGCGTACGTGCAAAAAAGTACTCGAATCTGACCCAACTTCCCGTGTAAGTTGAGTCAGATTCGGGCACATTTTTTTGAGATTAAGAGGTCTTGTTTATTTTCACGTCAAATGTAAATTAACGGTGATAGTAACTTACCCATATTCTTAGCGAAGCTCTGAGCTAGTGTGACCTGGTGGCCCTCCTTGACGAAAAGACGTACAGCGAATGCGTCATTGTCTACGCTGCCGGTCGCGAAGCCCTGGTACGCCATGTCGAAAAATGGGTATAATTTCTTTTCTTTGATTGCCTGGCGACAGAAATCGATATAAGTTATTGCAGCTAAATTTCTTAAAGATTTGTATTTTTTCGCTCTCTTTGTGGAGGCGGATTGATGGGGGTTTGGTGGTAACTGTAATTTTATTGCTCTTAGATCAAGTATAGATGTTAGTCAAGTGTAATAAATTTTTTGTCAATATATTCTCAATAGAAATACGGAGTTTTTTTAAACGGACTATTGTTTACCTTTTTGGGGGACCGCTAGAATTTTTTACTATTCTTGAAGGCTGAAAAATGAAAATTAAATTGAAGAATAATACCAAGAGAAGAGAGAAAATTTTAATATTTTCATAGGCCACCAACTTATTCCTCCTGATAACAGAGCTCCCAGATTAGTGTTTGTGAAGTTTTGCTTGAAACCTGAGGCAGGGACCAAACAACTCTATGGTGGGCTCGGGATCTAAATACGCTCACGACGATCGTCTGCGTTATGCATAGAGGCTTTAAACGTGTTTCACCGTATGACTGATGAAGGTGCCCTCTGAAGAACGAAGCAAGTGTAATCATTTTTAAACGTCTCATTCAATCACTAATTTGAAATGTTCAAGGGTTTAGGTTGATCACTAAAAATTTTAAATAAATATAATAAATTTGTTGTATTAATTAGTTTTTTTTTACCTGGGATAACTGTTTCCAGTCGTTGGGTCTGGGATCCACACCAGTCGGGTTGTGTGCACATGCGTGTAGAAGAATTATAGATCCCTCTGGAATGTTCTACGAACAAAAAATATGAATAAATAAGTGCCACAAAATCTCGCCTAATGTGTAATCTTCAAATCACGATAGGTACTTCGTTTCAACAAAGCATTAAAAATCATGATTATTTCAAAAATACAATAGTCGAGTTATTTAGTTTTCCATTTCACGTCTTTTCGTTCTTCTAGTAGCCAGAAGAAGACACTTCAGTTCTGCTGTGACCACTACGTAAAATCCGGTATGTATGTATTATTTTCCTACATTTTTCGCCGCTTTACGTCCCGATAGTGTATTTATAATACGTCAACAATGCTCAAGTTTAAAATTAAATTGTCTCTTACAGTGAAAAGATTCTAAAGTACCAATTAGTTCACCTATGCTAATATTATAAAAAGGAAAGATTTGATTGTTTATTTATTTGTAATGGATAAACTCCTGAACAGATTTTAAAAGTTTTATTTTTTTATTTTTAGAAAGCTAAATTATCAGCGAATGACATAGACAATATACTATTTTAGAAAATTCTATCTATCCATGCGAATGCTCCTGATTGCTAGTATCAGATTTAAATACACTCATTCCAAGATTATTTAAAGGAGAATAATAGGATAATTCCGAATTCACGACAAACATTTTATTATGTTACAAATTATATGTATATATTTTTAGTATTACCATGAGATAAATAAACAGTGTTGTTTCTCTTTATGTTACAGGGCAAAAGGTTAACACAATATGAATATACTGTGACGTCATACTAACAAAATTTCCCGGTTTATCTGTTGACAGACAAGCATGCGTATACCGCGTGCACTTAATCGAGTTAATATTATCGACATCTCTGTGAACTCTACAGCTAATACAGTATGATTGTTTTACTAAATATAATGGAATTGTAACTAAACGATAACTGTACATATGAGATATATAAGATAAAGTGATTTGAGAGATTTTAATAAGAGAAATACAAATAAAAATTATCATTTTTAGAATTTTTTGTTTGTCTGTTTGTTTATTTGTTTCAGTGTTATGCTAAAACCACTGCACCAAAATTAATGCAGTTTTTACAGTTCTATTTCTTACAAGTATATTGTTACGCTGTTTACAAATGGTTACCTACCTACTTTCAATATCTAAACGCACGAAGTAGCGGGCAAAAGCTAGTATACATAGATAAGGAATAAAATTTTATGAGTTAATTTGTAAACAATGTTACTTGGGGATTTACTCCGCCGACTCAGGGTTCAATTCAAAATATCCATGTAAATCTACGATAATAATAAACACAGTTAACAACCAAAATTAACTGGGGGGGGGGGGGACTGTTAGCAATGGGGACTGATGGCCTCATAGCTAGCAAGCCCTGTCAGGTCCACCTCCACGTGGTTCCCCCCAGAAACCATTGTGATTGATAGATACTTGTTGCATTCGTCACGATAGGCTAACTGACCTGCTTTCATGCTCATCTATCATCTCTCACTGGTGCCCCGCTAGTGTATACCCATAGCGCAGGCAGGTTACCATTCGATTATTTTCCATTAAAAACAAAACTAAATTAATTTAAGAAATAATAGTAGACTTTCCACTTTCGTTTTAGATTTGGTGATTGGTTGATTCAAAATGCTGATTGGTTCCATTCAGGCTAAAATAATAAAATATTACAATTTGAAGAAAATGCAATATAACAATACTTACACAGATATCTTCGAGGGCGCCCTGCAAATCAAAACCATGCGTCTTCGGATCATAATAGCGGTACTTCTTGTGCGGCAAGCCGAGCGTGTTGCAGATCTGAGGATGGTTTCCCCATGTCGGACTGGGCAGCCAGACCTCCTTATTTTTGGCGTAGTGTTTTGTGATGAACTCAAATCCAAGACGTAAGGCACCGGTTCCTGAGAGCGTCTGTAGATTAAATAGTTGATGTTTATTAATAAGATTAATTATAAACATGAAAGAGCATCTGTTTGCTTGGAACTGTTTGAGATCTTGACAGTTAAAGCAATCATTATAAATTTCGAATACTATTTGTTAAAAGCGACGCGTTTCTTTTGAGATAGAGAAGAACATAGACTATTTATTATTAAGATTTATATTAATACATTTTTTTTTTAAGATTTTGCTTCGTAATTAAATAAAACGCGCCATTTAGTCGTAACAAAATTTATAGGGGACCAGAATGAAACTTAATCGTACTTATCATAACATAGGATAAGTACTAGAGATGGGTAATATTTGATATCTATATACCTACTGAATTCCTCTGCACATTGCGACATCACACATACCAGTCTAATATCTATTTATTTATTTATTTAACTTTTTATTGCACCATAAATAAAAATATACAATGACAAGTAAATAAATACAAGTAAAATACTTTAACATAAATACAGATTGAAATACACACATAAAGGTACAAAAGGAGATCTTATCGCTAGGGCAAACTCTTACAGACAACCTTTGTTTAAAGGAGAACATTTAGAAGTGGGTAGGTGGCGCAAGGCCTATTCTATACCAGGAACTACACGGCAATTGCAATATATAGATATTGCTATACATCCATAATAAGTGCCGCTTATTAAAGCGTATTTTACTCCACCTATAAATACTGGTATACAATTATTACTTTTTTAAACGCGGTTAAGTACATTCGTTGCTCTTGGGTACACATATATACTTAATTATATCTGTATTTTGTACCGAGCTGTAAATTATCAAAATAAATTACATGTAGATAGTGCTCCGAAAACAAAGCGACTCTTTACAAGATTCAAGCCGATAAAGTTGATATTTAATAACAAATTACCTAGGGCAATTCTATTTTTAACCATTCAATGTCAATGCCATGCACTTGTGCTAACAATTTTCTTCGTTTTATCAATAGAGTTGTTTATGTAAAATTTTATAGATTTTCTGCATAAATGACGTGAGACTGAGGACAAAGTATTACTACGTATTAAGTATTACTATCTTTTTAGTTTTCTGTACCAAAAAAGTACAAAGCAACCCTTATGGTGCGACTTTATCCGTCCGTTCATCTGTCACAGTGCTATACTCGGCAAGTACTAATGCTATCGATTTGAAATTTGGATTTTTTGATTTACATTGAGAAAATTGAGATTTACATATTGTTGGCCTGCATATATTGTAATGGAAATAACTGAAAAAAAAAATTCTGCTAAGGAGCCCATAATTCTAATAAGTTATTATTACTATAATTTTATATTGTACATGCCGATATGGTAGAATATGGAATAATGGATATGTTATTATTTTTTTTCAACTAATGTATGTACCCATATTCGTGCAATAAATGATTTGATTTGATTTGATTTGAAGGAATTCAAAATGGGTACTGAAAATTTCAAAATAGAACTAATAGACAAAGTGAAGTATCACATGAAAGGACTTCATTTATACATTTTACATCTCATTTTTATTTATTTTTATATTGAGTAGTTTTTGATTTATGATCGAAAATGTTAACCCCCTTCCCTCTAACCCATTTATCCCTATTTATTTATTATTAGTTTGTAAAGCAAAAAATCTGAAATAATTACAGTTTATAAAGGTATATGTAAATATTATAGGGAAAATAAAGCAAAGTTTTGTCTGGCACTGTTTTTGAGTAATTATCAAAAAAATCTCTAAAAATAAACTTAGTTATGAAGTCCTGTCTTTAAACAAAGTTTTAAAAATCAAATCCCATAACGACGCCCCTTAATGGATACATGCTTGGATGTTTAAGGTATATTACAAGGTACAGGATTCTTGGAAGGGCCATATAATAATATTATACGCGAGATGTAGATATATCAAATGATTTTTTTTATGCAACTTAGAATCGCATACAAGCTAACCTGCTAACCTGATGGAAAGTGGTAACCGTCGCCTATAGATATGAGCAGTACCATGGACATAACAGAGTATACTGTTTCGCCCATGATACCCCCATGCATTGCTTTTCCTAAGAACTCAGGTGTTATTCCTCTGTACCCTGTAAATTATATGTTCACAACAAAGGTAACAGTACACAAATGCCTTTGATTACCCCGTTAAGGATTATGACTGCGAACACGAAAGTAAGGAAAAATAATAAATTATGTTTCCTCCTGGTAACTACAAGTACCGAGTTCATAGAGATAATTATCACACAATGATTATGACACAGTGATGATGATGAATGATGGAGTTTGGTAGGAACCCGATAAGAATCTATGCAACGTAATGGGCATTACATAAATTTATCTTATCAGATATACACAAATTTCAAGTGTTTACATTAAATGCAAAAATGACCTTCAACAATGTCGCCAGCAAATTATAATGAACAGGATTGAACAACGTCAAAAGAGAGCTAATTCTCAATTCTCCTTATTTTTTTTTTTTTTATTACACAATATCTTTGTATATCTTTGAACTGATTTTGATTATTATATTTTTAGATTTAACAGAATTTGCTGTATTTTTATTTAATGGAACAAATATTTTAAAATCGCAGTCGGGATTTAAAACGAACATTATACAGGTAAATAGTACCTAGGTATAAAACTAACTTCTTTTATCAAAGACGTTTATATAAACAACGCAAAAATTTAAAATTGAGTAATGGAACAAAACCTAAATTATAAAATTATCACTTTTTGAAGACGCCGAGTAATTATCATAGTGGCTTATTGTTGTTGTTTGGATATTACTTAACGGATGAAAATTGAAGAGCGAGAGAAAGAAAATTTCAGCTTATAATAATTATGTATATTGTCGTAAACAAGTACAAAAAGAAACGATGAGAATGAAAACAGGTTAGTAGGTCAATGGATGATAATGGAATGGTAACCCCGCCTGCGCTAATAGGATACATTGACGGGGCATCAGTGAGGGATGATAGGTGAGATGAAAGGGCAGGTTAGTTGTTCATGATGATCATCATGATGAAATTCAGCACGATGGTTTTCAGAGATCGACTTGACTAGATATATTGCTAGCAATGGGACTGATACATCCACATTATCCCCCATTCACTACTAGATCTACATTACTAACAAACCCTTTCCCCTCAGGTAGGTCCATTGTGGTGTTTACTAGAAATTAACCACGATGATTTGCAAGAGGACTACGTAGATATCGTCCTGACAGGGTATATTGCTAGCAAAGTAGCTTACCAATTATTAACAAACTAACACCACGTCCCGCTTTCGTATTCTTTTAATTTATAATCAAACAATTAATTTATATACCTAAGTAAAGTAATTAGGAAGTATTGAGCATACAACCCTTCTAAAAAAAAAGGGCAAACGAGAGGAAACCATCATTATACCTAATTCGTTGCATAATTTAGAAAAAACAAAGAAATGAATAGTAAGACCGCAGACAGGGGCTTCGTTTTATACTATTTAAAGATGGTCATAACATGGTAACTATATTTAGAAAATGCAGACAACATTTGGGAACACAGGCGCAGTCCAGCTCCCTCAGATTCCAGTAAATTTAGAAAAGATCGTTCCCTAAATTGGACTAAGAATAGAGTACGGGAACTTATTTACGCAAAGCAACGTGTCTGTTACTGCGCCAAGAAACATCATCGTCGTTGCCACGAGAAATGTAACTTAGAATAATAAAAAAATATGTTCACGCTAGTAAACCCTAATGGGATAGTCAGAGACATTTGTCGTCTATTACCATTGTGAGGAACGTGACTCTCTTGTTTGTATATAATAAACAAAAATATATTATTGTAGATAAATAATTATATACCGGTATGGGATTAAAATGATAAATGGTAAATATTTTTTTTTATAAATCATCATTGTTATTTCAAAACATGTATCGAATATTCGAAAGCGTTTATCTAAGGAGACACTGTGATCCATCAAACAACGAAATCAGTATAGGTATCGATAAAAGTATAGGTATTGATTGTTTACTTCTTTGGTAAACAAAATAACTGGACAATTAATTGTGACCGTCAGTGTAAATTTATATCAATTTTCTAATTAAAGAGAAATAATTTATCCCAACATTACAATATCCTTACTAAAATTATAAAAATGAAAATGAGTTTGCTACTTACTTTTCGGTTTAACCAATAATCACGACTGGAGACTTGGATGGAGAAGAACATATGCTATGTTTTATACCGGATATGACGAAAAACATATCCCGGTCAAGTGAAGATAAATAATTTAATTTATTTTATATAACATTATAAGTTACATATTTGGCTTTACTTATAAAAGTCACGAGTAAAAGCTTAAATGTTTAAAAATAATACACCTACCTGCACTGTGCAGTTAGATTTTTCTTTAAGAACTGGGCTGTCCGCACCGAAAGCTAGCTTAGCAACAGCTTCTGTATACGCGGCCTCACCGCCGATCGGGGCATATTCGTGGTTCAAGCATTTCTTGAAAACGATTTCCTCTGCCTAAATAAAAAAAAAATTGTTCAATCTAAGTTGCATAACTTATAGTCTATTAAGCTGGCAATGATTAGGGCCAACATTAATTGGAGATTTGTACTAGACAGGTTAGGTCTTCAGCCCTTTAGAGTTGGAAGGTCATCTAAGCTTAAGCAGTATAGCAGATGTATATAAAAAAGGAAGAAGACTGGTGATTACGCTAATAGATTAGCAATGAGGATTTGTTAGTCTCGTTCAGCAGCAATAAAACAAATTTAATAAAATATTATATTATTGAAGGTCAAAGTTTTTCAAAGTAAATAAAAATATTGCAAAACTCCTTGCTACAATTATGTACCAACCTATTTATATGAATAAGCATCAAATCAGGTTAGAAGTACTGTCCTTGACTGCTTTCTATTATTATCCATTACCTATGTGTTACCTAAGTAACATGATTTCAAATTTTAATTTTAAAACAACTCACAATAATAATATAATGACTACAACTTTTCATTCACTAGTTTTGTATATGCTCATATATAATTTTCCATTGAAAGCAAGTAATACAAACCTTTCTAACTGAGGGTAATACAAAAGGTTTTCCTTCATCATCTCTATATGCTCCCACTCCTAAATTAACCTTCTTGGGGTCTGTATCCCTTTTGTATGCTTCTGTGATGCCAAGGATCACATCTGGTGGACCCATCTGGACATTGTCCCACCATGTGCTGTTTTGAGAAAACAATAATCGATTTTGATAAGGATTAGAATTATGAAGTTACATACAAAGTACCTACTATAGTGTTTATTGATTATGTATTAAATTACTTTTTCTATGAAGTAATATGAAGTTAATGGATATGGATCCATAATACAAGGTTACTATATATACTATAGCTCAGTTAATGTTTACATGTGTATCATTACTTTATGGGGAAGTTTTATACCTTATTATATGTTTCAGGTATTAAGCCTTAGCATTAACTGTTAATAAAAATATTATATTTTATTGGATATCATTTATAATACTACTTTATGAGCTAATTTTCTGCATATTCTATGTATGGCACTTGAATTCAAAATAAATGCTTTTTATAAACTTAGCTACAGATTTCTAATAATTACATTATACAGCTTTACTAACCTTATTATAAAATTTATGGCAAAATCTAACATATTTAAATGATAACTCCCAAATATGAAACCACATAATAGATGCTTAACTACATTATTGTAGTAGCAAAATTTTTGTACCTTATACAAAAGATTAATAAGAAATTAGCTTGCAACAATGCTTAAAACAATGTGTAATTAATTTGTGTTGTATAATAATTATTTATAATATGTAAGTTAAAAATCAATAGGAAGAAGGAGGGTAGACTGTTAATTCTAAAATTGGTCCTTAAAAACTCGAGAAAGTTTTAATGACAGAGGAGGAATTAATAAAGTTGCGCCCACTAGAACCCCATGCCTAGACAGCACACAACTATTTCAACATTATTAAAGAAGTGCTTACTAGATCACATTATTAAACTTTTTGTGTAATTCTATAAGATTTACACAAAATAAATGAACAAAATGTCTTTTTTTTTTTTGTAAATAAAACATTTGCTTCTGTTAGTTGTCTACATAAAGAAAGATATAACTTTGTTAAAAATATGATAATTATTATAGTATATTATGTAGGTACTTGATACAAGTTACTTTCATTTCATAATTTTACTTCTATTCAAAGAATACAGACTACCCTCAGATCAAATTTTATTTTATTTATAGCTGAATTTTAATTATATCCTCAAATCAATTACTTAGTTTAATTCAGGTCAACCACCAGGTATTAGTCACTATCATCAATGTTCACTGCAGTTTTTCTGTTGTATTAATTTATTAATTAATGTGTATACAACAGTGGGTAGACATGAATATCTCAAAGTTTTATGACCATAGCTCTAAAATTATTACATTTAACCTAGACATTCTAATATGTAATAAACTTGAAGAAATAGATAATAAGTAATAAATTTAGGGCCTGGTGGTACCATTGCTTAAGTAAAACACCTGCAATCCCCTCTGGATAACCTTGTAGCTTATTCCTAGTATTTGTAACAATAAGTTAAATGACCTAACTTCATTAATACCTATTATCCTTATCTGGTACTTCATTAGCACAAATCAATAATGCAGGTGGAGTTAACATTACATTTTCATCCATCATAAATATATATATGTAGGTATGATGATATTTTTTATACTTAATATTGTTATCAAAAATAAGATAATGGCTTTAATACAGCTTGTAAATTAAAAGTTAAAAATTGTGCTAATCTCATGAACACCTATCTGTTAATCTACACTAGTTCCGGTGAGTTAATTAAGGTTCATTACAGAAATAGAAATATAATACTGGTTAGTGGGTAGCCCTATAACTAGACTGTTGCACAAAATAAAAGCACAAGTTATAAACGATTCGGGAGTTGTTACTTGTTTATATTTCCATATTTATAAGAATTTTCTTTAACAGAAATATTATTACAATAAATAATTATAACAAATATTGAGAAAAATACCGACGTAAATTTCGTATTTTTGAAAACATCGTAATAATACATGTTCAGAAAAATTGGTGTTAGGTAGTTTTCATTTCCATCAACTTTTCTACCCTACCCTTCTTGCAACACTGCACTTTATTACGTAAAATAAATTTATTAACCGGCATACCTGTTTGTTCTAATAGCTGTGGCACCGATGATGTTTTCTACATTATTGTTCTTAAGCACGTGAACAGATAATTTCTTTAATGCTTGAGCCATTTTACTGAAATGCGATCTTTGTAGAATAATAATATAACGTAATACAAACAATACAGCCGGTATGAACAATTCTAAAGTTCGTCTCTACATTCGACGTGCAATACAGCTGGTTGGATGATGACACATTGACAGATAATGATGATTTTCTACTATTTTAGTAACACATGCCGTCAATCCGTCAATCAGTGTCAATTGAAAATTCATCATCACAATGAACCTTTTTTAATCGCTACTGCTTGTCAATGGTTCAGTTGTGTTGCCAAACAACAAAAAATTAATCATGCAAAAATAATAGGCTAATAAACAATAAATAATTATTAAAGATTATTTTTCAAGAACGCTTGGCCCTTAAAAGAGGCGCATATACAATCTCCAACTAACCCCCTTGACAAGTGGCAAGCGAATCCATCGATGAAAACATTATGGAAAGTGAGTCCATGAGTAGGAATGAGATATCCGGCGTTGCTATTTCATTCAATTTCACGAATTCGTCAATGATGTCGACTCCATTAATGAATTCGTTTGCCACTTTTCTAAATATCTTCCCTATTAACAAATTTAAATTGACAGAAAAATAAAAAAATCTGTTTTCAAAAATAAAATAAATAAAACCTTATCATACTTTTACTCTTAAAATATTACAAGTCTATAAAATAGGGGATATATGGTACAAGTGGAAACAGCGATTCAATACTTTTTACCTGATTTCCGTAACAATAGGCCTATACCTATAATTGCAAAAGGAAATCTGTATATTATGCTAGTAACTAGACGTGGAGTTGATGATGTGGATATAGCCTTTATAAAATTAATTAATACATTGTCCTACAATATTCTTTGCAAGTTTTCTGGTTCCTAAAATCCAATAACTTTCTCTAAGTTTACTCATCAAAGTTTGAAAACTACAATGTAATTTTTTTATATGTGTTTGAGTAACTTGTCTTATAATAATTGCATTATTACTTGACAATAAAGCAGGTAAAGGATAATTTTCTATATCTTTTGAAAAGTAATTAGTATTCGTATTTTGATCCCTATCAAATCATTTTCATCCCTATATATCTGAAACTTAAGATTTAAATCAAACTTTTTAAAGCTTTCTCTTTGCATAATAGAAAGTATAATCCTTTCGGCTTGAATATAATCAGTCTCTTTTATTTTGACTGTATATAGTCTATCACTATTGTATACGAAGAATAACTGGGTTCATATGTAATTACGAAAACATACAAGCACGTCGACGTCAAATATGTAACAATTTTGTAGTTAAAAAATTCTGAGAATAGCGTGGATTTTAATCTGGACGGCCAATGAAATTTAATTTTTTTTTTTGGACAATGGTGGCAATTCTAAGACTGTGCATTGTCCCTTTAAGGTTACTTAGATACTATATCAGTTGTGACTAAGGTGACAACATCGCTTTTTAAAAGATACTTAAACACGGGGTAAAAAATTTGCATATATTAAGGATATTTTTGTATGAAAAATTTTATGATATTTAAAACATGAAATACTTTCATTATCATAACGTTGCGTACATATTTTATTCTGTACTATACTAGCCTGATAGGGATTCCCTATTCTTAGAGCCTAGGCTTTACCATAGATTAAAGAGAGTATGTCTTCACTCATAAATCGAACATAGTAGTACCCTTTACTTGACAGTTTATAGAGATATGACGTGATGTTTCGGTTTTTGATGTTTTAGTCTGTCATACTGTCATTCTATTCTGTTTAAAGAAGTGTCGATTGATTAACAATCGTAAAAAGGTTATTTATTTGCAATTTAACTAGCATAATGGCTGCTGAAATAAAGCCTGCGCCTAGGACACCTAACGATAGATTCTCCACTACAAAAAAACCAGCACTTTTAAATAAATTAGAAGGTTGTACGGACGATGTAAACGCCGCTGTGGTGATACCTGGCGAGGACGGTGTAATTAGCGTTTGCGATGATAAGTAAGAGTTCCGATTTATTACACGAAAACATTTTGTTCTAATTGCTCAATTTTTAGCATTACTTATTTGTAATAAAACAAAAATTGAAGTTGTGACCTTTTCAATTTGGTTTACGTTATGTACCCTCATTTGGACGTAGTTTTTCATAATTGCGTATGTTTGTTCTTAATCATTATACAGCTTCAAGTAACATTTATGAATTTATATTTCATGAGAATTACTAACAAAACCTTCAATTCTTTTATATGATTATCCATATTTTTTAGTCTGGTTTTTGTTTCAATTTATTTATTTAAGGAACAATCAAGGATTGTCTTTTTATCGAAATAATAATTAATAAAGCAACATGTCAACTGGATTACAATGATTTTTTGTTAATTTGTTATCTGTGTTTGGTTGTAATTTCTTTATTTTAAACATCTACTTCAAGTTTGTTTACTAAATATACAAAGTCAAGATAACAGATTAAAATTATGTGGGTTCTTAATACATATTTTAAATAATATCAATTAAAATGTACATAGATACAACAAATGGTCAATGACAATTTTAAAACTTCACTGTTTTACTGTAATAATATTAGGATAGGCCTTTGAGAGGTGATTTGAAAATAAATTATTTTAAACTCATGTTCATCTGTGACATCACCTGCATCAATAGAATATGTTAATTGACCAGGATAAAAATGAATAACTTATGTGTGTCCCAAATAGTATATATATGTTAAATTTCACAACAGTTAGTTAAGCTGTTAAAGCAGTAATAGTTAATAACATATAAACATCATCTTTTTTGTATATATTAGTAAGATTGTTATTGAAATATGAAAAATAACTATATTTTCAATTCACCTGTCTTTCTACAATATGTTGATAAAAATGACAGTATAGTATACAAAAATGTTAATCACAAATTAAGGTGGGGTAAATTATTACAGCTTTTATATCTTTTCAAGTTTGCAAATACTTTTTTACTGCTTATGGCATTAATAAATGTGAAAGTTTACGAAGATGTATGTTACTCAGGTGTGCTGCATATATTATACAGTATAGACAAATTTGAATGTTTTGATATACACAAAAAATATGGTCTATTTTCTGTGATTAGACTTATAAGATACTTTTATCATATTGATGGCCATAGGTAACATCTAATCATATATTTTTTAGTAACCATTTTATGAAGCAATAAATATAGTAACTGTTTACTATCATATGAGCTACATATTTATTTGCCACCTTTTGTTGTGTATTTTATTATGTCTATATTTGACAATGATGATATTTTTAAATTTTAGCAATATTGTGTTGTCTATAAATTATATTAGATACAGAAATTAAATTAATTGGAATCAGTTAGTCATAAGTCATTTGTCCATGTAGGTAAAGTAGAAAAATAAATATTTGCTTATGTCACTGAACTGTAGGATTAAAAAATTATAATAGAATAATTTTTTTTAGTTATTCATATAATTCATATCATCTTCATCTTCTTACCCTTATCCCAATAATTTGGGGTCGGCGTAATATGATTTTGTCCATATTACAAAAAGACTTGGTTTTTAGTTTTACGGCCGGCCACCTGCCTGACGTCAACCCTCTTTAGGAATAATTCATATAATTCATATGTTAATAAAAAAAATTGTTATGTATTATACAAGGTTTTAATAGATTTTTTTTAATTACAGAACAGTAAGAGTATGGCTAAAACGTGATTCAGGGCAGTATTGGCCGAGCATCTGTCAGTTTATGCCATCTGGTTGTACATCTATGTTTTATACCCCAGAAACCAGACAGTTATTTATTGGGCAAGAAAATGGCACTATATCTGAGTTCACACTAGCTACAGACTGCAATAGAATAAATCCTGTATGTATTGCAATTAAATTTACATTATTTATGTAAAGGAGAATATTTTAAATTTCATTAAGTGATTTAATTTAAAATATTAATGTTCATATGTTGTAAACACTATTGTAGAGTGAAATAAATTTTATTTGTGTTGATCTTGCATGGATAGTGCTATGGCACTGCATGGCTTTTTTATGAGTAAAGGATCTGTTGGTCAGTCATCATTGATGCTAATAATGCTGGCAACACCAAAGGGGTGGGCATGCTGTCAACCTAAATAAAATTTATTTCATTCAAATTTTTCACACATCTGTATAAATTTATAGTTTAAGTGACAGTAATAAAAGATGATTTTTTTTTATATGTCTAGACACGGGAGTACCTAGCACACACTGCACGGGTAACGGCTGTTGTGTTCTCCTTAAGTTGTGAGTGGGTGCTGTCAGTGAGCAGAGACAAATTGTTCTCCTATCACTGCAGTGAGACCGGCCGCAGGATTGGTGGGTACTCTTTTGAAGCGTGGTGTACAGCTCTACAGTATCCTTTTTTATAATTTATTTTTTCTAATATAAATAGGACATTTAGGAAAGAAATTGATGAGTAGACTGAGTTGCTATTAATATAGTTGGGATTCAATTAGAATCACAAAATGTCCAGTGTAATAATTTGTTTATTATTTCTTGTAATTCTTCTTATGTTAAATATGTAAGAGGTAGTATATCTTTGTTCTCAGAACAGGCAATCCATGAGGTGATCTCTGAATATCACAGTATAATTATCCTCTCATAATCCTGATACTATTTACATCTTTAAGATGATAGTAACAGTTAATTATAATTGTACATCAAGTGACTCATTGACTTGTATAATTTTTCCTTAATATGTGTAGTCATGTTTTAGTGAACAGTAGGCACAAGATATATTAACCTAACCCTAAATAAAACCTTATCTAGAAAAAATAATATTGCAAATAAAATACATTTTTATTAAAAATTCATTGTCATTTATATAATCAATGGTACTTACTACGTTTACGTTAAAATGTAATCAATGGCGAGCATTGATAACAGTTAACAAGTCATGATAATATGAAATAGGAAACTGTTATCCAATATTATTTCCTAAATATATAACATCAGATTTGACTCACAATCAAAATATGCATTTGTGGGTGATTACAGTGGGCAGATAACTATGTTAAAATTAGACAATAATGGTGCTGCTCTAGTCACTACATTGAAGGGGCATACTGGGTGAGTGTATAATGTTTTTGTACTATAATTAAATTTCGTATTTTTATTTTTATAATTTGAACTATTTAATATACAATTTGGTATATTTTTATAACTAACATAGACAAAAAAAATATAATATACAATAACTCATTGTTTATATATGTTATCACAAAAACGATTTTGTTTTTTACTTTCTTTATTATATCCGCCATTATTTCGTTGCTCTCGTTGAGATTTTTTTTATTAAATATACCAAGTATAAATACATTATGAGTATTAATTTGAAAGTCTGCAAAGATGTGATAATAAATAAATAAATAATTAAAGATGTTTAGATATTTGGTGAATAAAATTTGGGACAGAAATATACCGTATTCTACACTCCTCGCCCATTCCTCGGCCATTATATTCCCTAAATCGCCTCTTATGACACCCACGTGACAGGAAGGTGTGATCCATTCTATACCGAGACCTCACGGCGCATCAATCTTAAAATGCAGTCTAAATTATTGGTATCTTTTTATGGGAGTATACTATTAGAAACTGAATATTTTCATTAGAAAAATATGTCAATAATATGAAACTTGCATAGTATTATGTCACGTTCTAACTCTTAAGTCAGTATAGAAAATTCCTCTTTTTTAATTTTTTATTGACTATATTTTTCGTCCTAATCCTAATATATAAAATCCTGTCATGATATGTATTCACCCTAATATCTGAATGCGTTTAACCGATGTTTATGGATAAATCAAAATTTAATTATTGCAGAAATTTTATACTTGTGCGAAATCAGGGCGGGTCGCTAGTATATTCTGTAGATATCTTTCAAATTTGAAAGATAAATAATCGATTGAAACTTAAGGAATGCCATCGAAAAATTCAAAATAAACATTGTTTTTCAATAAAGTTCACACATGTGATTATGGATGAAATATGTTTCAGTTCTGTAAGAGTATTGAACTGGGCTCCAATACGCCAGTTACTGTTTAGCGGTTCCTTCGATCAAACAATCATTGTATGGGATATTGGTGGACAAAAAGGCACAGCGTATGAACTGCAAGGACATAGGTAAATATCTAATTTTATAAATAATTTCATAAATTTATTTTAAAATTTGGATTTTGATAATTTCTCAGAAACTACAAATATTCTATAATATATTATCCTTTTATCCACTTATATATAAATATGTAAGTCTTTTCTGTATGTTGTTTAGAATAAGCTATGATACATAACACCTTAGTTCTCAGGAACAGCAATAGTTAAGATCCATAGTTAAAATAGGTCTTCATAGAATGACCAAAAGTATTTTTTACACATTTAGAGATATGCTGATGAGCCGGTATGTAAGAGAGGTATCATAGGCATACAATGTACTTTGAAATGTCCACAGTGGTCTTTATAGGAGGTTATGGTTACCATTTTTGATTAGGTAAACTGTCAGCTTGTTTACCATTTCATAAAAGAGTAAAATATTCAAGCCTATAAGATTAGTGACTTTTTGGTTACACCCTGGACTTCCATAGTAATATAAATGTGACAATATATTTATTTTTAACTCTCAGCGACTTAACGTCTTAATCACCATGGAATATATATACCTACTATGTTGGTTAGAGAAGGTTGGTTACTAGTTTTTATCTTATCCTAATTGACTAAATAGATATGGGTAAATCTAAATAGACTATATTATTAGCGGGATATTATATCAGAACAATACCTTAGTCACGTGGACGAAATTGCATATAAAAGATAGTATAATAAGCTGTTGCGTTATTCCCCAGTAATAAGGTGACGGGCTTGTGGTACGTGGGCGGGTGCGAGCGGCTGGTGTCGGCGGGCGAGGACGGCGCGCTGGGCGTGTGGGAGATGGGCGTGCGGCGGCGCGAGACGCCCGCCTGGAAGGAGGCCGACCTGTGCCAGATCTGCCACGCGCCCTTCATATGGAACGTGCGCGCCATGATGGAGATGAAGCAGTTAGGTTCGTTGTCACTGTCATACTATAAAATTTTTTTTTGCCTCCCTTGCAAAGTGCAACTTGTTCCCGGATTTTATTTTCGAGGTTTTTTAGCTAGTTTCAGTTTTGGTTTGTCGAAGAACCACAGTCCCTCGGCATAGTGTTATTTTTATTGTACGGTACCGTCCACATCCTCGCATATGAATCAGTTTTGTTACTATAACATTTATGTGAATTGTTTTTTCCTGGATGAAAATGAAATGATAATTTTGCCTGTAATATTGGTTGTGATGAACGAAGAATGATGAGGGTGAAGTTAGCTAACTGATCTGATTTCATACTCCTTCATCACAATGAGCTTATTGTGATAAATTAATCACAATAGTTTTTACAATGAACTACAAGGAAGTTTTCCTGACAAATTATATTGCTAGCTATGAGGTTACTAATACACGTTATTACTACTATCATCCCTTTCTTTCCACGTGTAGTATAAAATGCATTGCGCAAGTAAATTCCGGATATAGTCGTATGTTCGGTTGATTTAAGCTTTAACAGTCTTTTCTAAATTGGTTCAGGTTCTTTGTGTTTCCATTTGAACGTCAGCAGCGTGTAATCTCTGATATAAGAATTTCATTGTGATCTTCATAATTTCTATATAATTTATAATTTCCAGTTTTTAAGTAAAGTGGAGTCATTTGTGTTTCAACCGTGAAGCAGTTGTGTTTGCATGGCTGTGTTTCGGTTTGAAGGGTGGGATATGACGTGAATTTACAGGGTACAGAGGAATAACACCTGAGTTCTCAGGAATGGCAACGAATGGGGGTATCATGGGCGAAACAGTATACTCTGTTATGTCCATGGTACTGCGCATGTCTATAGGCGACAGTTACCATTTTCCATCAGGTGGGCCGTCAGCTTGTTTGCCATTCTAAGTTGAATATTTTACTGAAATGGGTGCTATTTTGCGGAATTCCATATCACTGGTTATTTTATTAGAATTATTTGGTTTCGTTCCGCTACCATTAAAATGTGTGCACTTGCCAACACTCAAAAATTGATGATTAGAAATTGATAGTTAATGTGGAAAGTTGTAGAACATTCGCTAATAATAATAGTAGTGAGTCTTCGAGTGTGGACGGTCGCACACATATCGTCATAGTCGTAGAATACTGACGGATCTTTGCACACATATTTGTCAGATCCGTACGATATTAATAATAGCGGAATTAAAATAAATAATTCTAATAAAAAAAAAAGTAATTAGGTTGCATTCATTAATTTCTAAATCATGACCTATAATAAAAAAAGAAATCTCCCCAACAGATAGTTTTGGAGCTTGTTTGTCTCCCCTAGTCGTAGTAAATGAAACAATATGTGGGCAGGGTTGCGGCAGCACCACTGCCGCTGGTGCGGGGCTGCGGTGTGCGCGACGTGTTCGCCGCACCGGCTGCCGCTGCCCGTCATGGGCTTTGAGTTCCCGCAGCGCGTGTGCACGCACTGCTATGATACTCTTAGGCACGAACCGTGAGTACATTTGTTATTTCTCGTACATCCACAAATACTAATGGAAGTATGTGCCTGAATTATGCGCATTTTCGATAGATGTTCTAACTTTAATAAGTACAGCAACAAGAGAAATATTTATTTTATGTTGCATTTAAAGTAATAAACAATGGAGACTAAATCCCTTACTAATAAAAACTAAAAGCACCTTCTACAAATCTATTTTGAATATTAGTTTTGTTGTTTGCTTCCAAACTGTACAAAATAATAGAAAATAACTGATCCCATATGTTGATACTGGCAAATAATTCGAACAAGATTTTAATACTACCTGACAAGCATGATTGGAACTCATTTCTCTCTGCCTACCCTTCAAGAATTTGGCGTGATCATAGATAACAAAAACAATTTGACGTGTATAAGCGTCAACTATTTAAGCTTTAAAATGGTCGCGGCGAACAGTATAGCACAGGCGTGTACACCCACAGGCGCGAGTCGCTCGCATCGTTCCACGATATGAAGCATGCAGTGACGTCATTGTACGTGGACGAGGCGACGGGCCGCATGTGCACGGCCGGCAAGGACCGCGTCATCAAGGTGTGGGACGTCAGCGTGCTGCTCGCGCCCACCGCCGCGTCCACCTCCGGCTCCGCTTCCGTTTCCGCGCCCGCGCCCGCGTCCGCGTCGCGTGTGGGGCCCAGCGACCAATAGCCACTGTGACCGCGCGCTCTCACCGCTCTAACGAATACCGCTCGCGCGTAATGTCGGGCGTTACGAATGCACTTCGGAAGTGGTCGGTTGTGGTCGGGTAGGATGCGTACGATTACGATGTCAGTTGATTTTCGTCATACAATTGTTGTTAGGCGCTTTGATTGGTATTAATTAATTAATCCAAGAAATTGACTGTTGCGTTTAATAGTTTCAATTAATATTTTCGAGATATATGATATTAAAATTGAAATTAACAGAGAAATAAAGACGAATGTTTATACTATCCTTGAAAATATATGTAAAAAATAATATATTTTAAGCTACGTAGACGTAGAGTATCAAATTAAGTTATCTTTTTATTCTATATTTTGTTTTTAAACAAAATCATGTCTTTACAGTTCACAACAAATTATATTTAGACTGATTTTGGTACATTAGATTATGTACATATCTAATGTACCAAAATCAGTATATATCTAATTTAAGTATAGTTTGTACACATCTAGGTGTCATAACTCCAAAACAGCATATAACATGTATTAAAAAGAAAATAACAAGTCCATATTATATATGTATATATATGTAATTATATTATTATTTATACTGCGTTAAAATTTATCTTTAGCCCCCATTTTTCTTCCCTTTTTAGTCTTATTATTGTTCTGTTAAGCCATGATCAGCCCCAATTATAAATTCTCTCCATCTACGTTGCCTGGAAAAAATCGCTATTTAACGATAAGGCCGCCCGTTGTTGCCTCTTTATTTTACTGTTGTGTAATTAAATTTATTTTATTATTATTTTTTTTTTCTTTATTGAACCACTAAAGAATAATATAAAGATATGTATATATTACTTATGAAGTACAAAATGCGGTCTTATCGCTAAAGTATTCTCTTTCAGACAACCTTAGGATAGAGGAGAAAAGAAAAAAGACGGTAGCTATTTGGAGCAAGAAGTGAAACTAAATAACAAAGAAAAATGCTCATGTTAATGTTATTATTATTATTTTTTGTACAGATATTGTTAATCTTTATAATCTGCATCATTCTATGGAGGGAACAAAGAATTTCCATTCATTCTTTAATTAATAAATTTGTAAAACTGAATAATTTTTCTCCAAGAACAAAGAAATACGGTAATAAATTTTAAACTTTCCATACTGTTCTCCTACATGGCTGGTTTACATTATAGATTTAGTATGAAAAGTAAAACAAATTATTTCGATTGAGCATAAGCAGAGAATATTGTTCAATATCATGAATACCCATTTGATATTGGCTTGTTATACTTCTCGGTCATTACAACATATGTATATTCAAAGATCACAAGCGATCGTTTCAATTATTCTATAATTCTATATGTCAAGTCTCAATAACCCAATAAATGTGGCAATCGAGCGAAAAATCGACGAATTAACTCGCTGTTCATTTGCTATTATTACATGCTTATTTCTCTGTTACAATGGTAATAGAAAAACTAATAAGTCAGTTTCAATTTCTTTTAAGAAAATTTTAATTTTGTAATATAAAAGTTTTTATTTTACTTAGATTGCAAATTTAGTAAACATTCTGTCTACCAAGATGTAAACATTAAAGTGTTCTAAGTGACATTTACGCCATTTGGTAAGATATGACTATATTTATGGCCCAAATTTCTCATTAATAAGTATATAGCGAAGCCATTAATAATGTGCACATTTACTTACATTATGAAAATTTTGCGATATATGTTATTTCTCAATGTGCCCACATAAAGGTATTTTTACTTTCATACTAAACAATATTTTTTACTTTTTATTTGTATATTATACATTATTAGGCATCCTATTTAGTCACTAATGTATATAAAAATAAAAAAAAAAAAACTATTAACATGAGAAAACATGTCAAGAAAATAATTTTTTGGCGGCTTTTTAAATATTGCTCGAGTCATATACGTATATAGTTTACTTATGTATATTTGATATAAGCAAAGTTTAAATATGCGATATTAAAATTTGTTCGTTATTGTTTAGTGCTACGCGTTTATTGTTGAACAAGTTTGTGTGTCATCAGTTGTCGTGAGCTAAGACTGAAACTTTCCCATTCATGATATGTATTATTATAAAGTTGATAAGATCTTCATTATCTCCGATGGATGTAATATAGTTTAGATATTCCAACAGTAATTATAGTAATTGAAATTATATTTATACGAGTTATTAATACAAGATCTCTGCTATTAAAATGTTTTTTATTTAATGTTATTTGGTTTATGGGGATTATATATTTTGATATATTTTTCATGTTGTTAAAATGTAACTGGTTTTCATTTATTTTTTTGCATGAATGCTAACACGGTTCTATTTAAATGAAGGTAACTTTTAGAACCATTGTTTCTCTCAAAAAGGTAAGGTTTAATATATATATTTAACCTTAACTGTTCCAGTCTGATTTATCCAATAAAGGTTAACGTGCGTAGGATTTATTAATTGCTTACTACATTAATATAGTAATGGAAAAGAGCTATATAACAATAGCCCTTTGTCATAATCAGAACTATTAGGAAATGATGAATCGGACGCTACGAGCAAGGAAACTGCAAAACAATCAGGCGGTCAAAAGGTTAACCGTATTAGTGGTGATTAAACTTGGTTTAATGCATGTTTAATTGTAGTGTGAAATGGATGGTGTAGCTCACAGAAGTAATGCCATAAATTCGTTGTACATATATAAGACATATTTCGTTTACTTTTCATAGTTATTTTTTAATTTCTATTTCAACTGCATAACACGATATTTATTTATTTGATTAATACAAAAAGAGACTATAGAAATTTGGCAAACAGTCTTTAAGTATCGTATCCTTGATATTTGAATTGTAATCTATTATTTCACTTTATTATTAAATATTTCAAGATACTAATGTAAACACAACCACTCCTATGATTAGTTGCATGCATCAATGTCAACAGCATGTTTGAAATATTCGAATGATTCATAGTTATAAAATTGTGAATCGAATTACCTTATTTGTACAACAACGAAATAGATAAGTAACAAAAAATAGGTACAATTTTAGACTTACGTGATGCATGATACTTGGTTTAAAAAGGACGGGAATTAACGATAGTTTAGGTAATATTAATATCGAGGTAAACTTAAGCTAATGATTATATTTTAACCTAAATGATTGTGTTAATTTCCTTCCTTTATAAACAAATTCTAAATATAAAAGTCCCATGTCACGGTGTTTCTTGATGCTAATTTTCGAAATGACTCTACCATTTCTTTTGCAAAATTTTATAAATAAATTGTTTGCTCCAACTCGATAGATAAAGAAAGTTTTAATCTCGAAAAAAAAAATTAACCCAACAGGGTTAACTGGTTTTGCATAACATTCATAAAACGTGTTGGAGTCTACAACTATTTTACTTAAAACTGCTATTTATAAATTGAAGAATCGAAGCAACTGTGTCATATTACTATATTATTATTTTAATATGTTTAAACATTAAATTGATTTCTTTTTAATATTTACAATTATTTATTAATCGTGTTAAATTTAATATAACATTTATATGTAATTTTAAATGTTCTTTTACATTAATTTTATCATATCATTTCTTAATGAAAATTAAGGAGGCAATTGTTAAAGCGATTTAAGGTGGATCCGAGAATAATAATGTCTTTTTATATTTAACCATATTATTAATAGACCGTGACTTTGTTGTGGGATTTTTTTTCGCTTATGGCCTTTAATTGTGGCGTAGCTTCATTTGTATTCTGTATTAGCTTTTTGCCCGCTACGTCGGATGCTAGGATTTCAGAAGTAAGAAATGCAATGATATCACTTCTAGATGACGTAATAAAAATTAAACATACACCAGATTTTAAGTTAGACATTCAGGAACACAACAGTGTAAACCGTATCCAAATTCGTGCAGTAGTTTTTACGTGACACCGGCATAAAGACACAGATAGACAGATGACATTTCTATAAATTATTGTTTTGGCTTCTTTTGGTCCTACTGACATCCCTTATATAATTTTTTTTTAAATATTTCTCATGTACATACATCATCTATTTTAAAAAAAATTATGTGATTATTTTAGAACATAAAATGTTGTAGGTACTTATTTATAAGTAAAAATACCTTAAAATCTAGCGAAATGACAAGTGTTTTCACCCATGAAGACGAACATGTCATGTGCGTTTGCATTAATATTGTTATCACTTTGATATCTTGTTATAATGTAAGTACTTAATAGTGATGTGCCGTATATACATATCTGTATTGACGGATATCCGAGAGAGATAAAAGATCTGTATTCGTGTCCGTAAATTTTGGCGGATCTAGAACGCATACGTATATGAAATTCTAAATTAAATACTATTAATTGGAATTTAATTGAATTTTTATTTCTTAAAATCATATACAGTATTTTAAAGTTACCTACAAATTAAAATATTTTAATGCGTTTAAAAGTAGATCTCTATGTCAGTATCCATATTTACGGATTTAGACACTAATGATCCGTATTCATACATGAATATATATTCATATACACGAAAAAGGTATATTTTTAACCATCCGGCACATCATTAGTCTTTATTGACAATTTCAGGATGTTTTTAACTAGTTTATCTGTCAATAAATATGTATATCATATTAGTGCACACATTGGGAAGAACGAGACGCTGGATGTTGTTATCTCATTTTAACTCACGCGCACGCGTTAATCTAGCGATAACGTATTTATCGCTAGATTAATTTGATTGTTATTAATTTAATTGATAGCAGAGCAGACTAATAATACAGACGGTTAAACTTTTCACATATTTTTGCACGTGGCTGTACTCGTCAAATTAATTTAATTATTATATATTTACAATATTAATATTGAAACAAATTATTGTGGTCATATGATGTTTATAAGGCAAAAATAAAAACGGCACAGTATATAATACCGACTGTTTCAATAGAACTTAATGGAAATATATACAAATGAAGAACTGATCCGACCACAAGACAAGACTGATATCCAGTAGTAGAACAAATCATACATACATACATACATACATATCTGTCACGCCTGTCTCGCACTGGGTCAGGCAGAAACAATGGAATGCCAAACGCTTCGATTTAAATAGAGTTCTTTCGTTTCCTCAAAATTAAAAAAAACGATAAACGGATTGAATGTTTCGATTTGTTATTGTCTTGTTTAAAGTGTTTTTGTGATGATATAAAAAATATTTTATTACCTTCTAATTAAGTTCTATTGAAGCACAATATAAAGTCTGCGTGATATTTTAACAGGTAACTAAATTGTACTTTCATTAAGAAATTATTTTACCATTGATTCATAAATGTACATGACATTGGTAAATAAGTTGGACGTAGCCTAGTAGATATTCGATAATATTATATATATATATATATATATATATATATATATATATATATATATATATATATATATATATATATTATACAGATATTAGATAAATAGATTTATTGTGTCAAATATGAGGTAGACTCGTCATCATTACTGCATGTTTTTGGTTACATTTAAAACTCATGATAAGCTTGTTTGCTTCTATAGAAATGTACTGTTGGGATTGAGCTACAACATTGCTCATATACTATTAAATATTATAGGTAGATAGGAACCAGAAAATAATAAAATATTTGTCTTTTTATTTGCGGAGACTTGTAAAGATAGACTCCATAATGTTTGAATTGACATGCACGTGTATCACGGTCTTAAGGCCAAGTATCATAAAACAAAGTGATAGATAAGGAATGTGTTTACAACTACTATATAATCCAAGAAGTTCATTGTTCGAGTGTTCCCGTAGTAACAAAGTGATGAATTTGATGTAGTTAGGAGTTTATTTTAGAAGTTAAAGAACAACTAACTGTTGGTGCGAATAGGATTGTTTTCTATCAATAAAGATAAATGTCTCTAATAAGTTCTAACACATTTTGTATTTCACGTTTGTTCAACATTATCCCTCATTACTATGGTTATTTATTTTTATAAATAAAATTTAAAAATTATCTCATTTAAAGCTTTTATCACTGTGATCAACTATAACGTCCGTTAACTTATAAACAATTTTTTTTTATTAAATTTAATTAAATAATGCAATAATTGCATAAAGGAACATAAAGGATTGCATAAAGGAATGTCGTTTACGTTGTTATTATTGTCTATTAATAGTTTTATTATAATAGTTACAATACGAAAAGAATCATGTATTAAATTTTTGTATTAGATTTTGTCAATAGTAGTTTCTGTTTTTAGAAAGATTGATCGTCTAAAATTTTAACTTTTTTTTTTTCTAAAGCGAAGATATCGTCGCAATAAAGATCAGATATATGAAATCTGATCTTTTATTCCATTATTGTATTATTTTAATGATTATTTTTGTATTCAAATTTGCTCTAATTTGGAACAGTGTCAAATATAATTTAGATTTAAATAAATTAAATATGTTTTTATTGTAAAACGCTTTAGTGTTAACTTCCTAGAGCAATAGTTCATATGTTACTGTATACGTTATAACACTTTTATTATCAGCAATTGTTATCAGGTTTTATGTTAATGATGCAATTACTTCCACTACCGCATTTTTATTATTAGGCACGATCAGCATTAAAAATAAATTTTCAAAACCTAAATACTTCTTAGGATAGGTATATTTATTATTTTCTTGTTCATTAATTTTGGATGCTAACCTTGGTAATTACTTAAGTACGCAGCATTGTTAACGGGTTTTGGAAATATGTACTTTTTTTTTTAAATTTCTGATGCTGACTGTACTATATGATTATAGTTGATAATATTTTAGCTTGTTCCACACAAATATTATAATACTGGTATGTTATAAATAAAAAACAAGTCCTTGTGTAATTTACCTACGTGGTACCGTAATCTTATATATTTCGTGTAAGAGTAATACCGATCGACATAAAACAGTCCATTCTTTTAATTACTTTTGCTTTACAGCTAGGAGTATACGTATAGGGGTGTCATGGGCAGCACAGTATATCTTTGTAATATCCAAGTTGCCAACTAATAAATAAGCTATCTGTCCACTTCTTGTAGGTGCTGTAAAAAAATCTTAAACAAAAATACGTCGCTTAAAACATTAGGTTTACAGTAGTGAGAAACGCGCAAAACATGAATGGGAATAAAGATTGATGGTAACACTACTGAGAAAGCTTATATCTTATCCTTAAATAAATAAGGTTCACAATCGTATATAATAACTGGTCACGCCCGTATTTTTGTTATATTAGATATTGAAGTTGCCTCACCAATATTATATGTGTCAGGGCACATTTTAATTAAAATTTTCGGCGTGGACCAAATGAAACGAAATTATGTATAAAATAATATACTATATTATATTTGTCATATATTCATATTGTAATCACTTTAAACTGTATATGATAATGTTTTCAAACGAATGTATAGAAATGTATAAATTTTTATAGTAAAAAATGTATGTAAAAGACAAATATATTATTGCGATTAAGCGATTTTGTGGCAGTAGACTGTTATATCTATATATATATATATATATATATATATATATATATATATATATATATATATATATATATATATATATATATATATATATATAATTTTTTTTTCTGATTTTGTATATTATATTATATTCTATCAGTATTCCATGAAGTTCTTATTCACTTTAAGGGATCTATGAAGGAATAATACATTATGGTTTATTTTTAGAACACATTATTTTAATTTGTTTTTGTATTCTATGTAAAAATTAATTAATAAAAAATCTATGTAAATTCGTTGATTGGGTACCTAATAGTCTATATCAATTGCTTATTAATTATTTTTTAATATTCTTTAAAAGTCATTAAAAGATAAACTATTTTTTTTTACTAATATATAACTTACTATTGAGTTTTGTAAGTAAAAATTGTAAGATATAGTCACTGTATAATTATTATTAATAGCTATTAATATAATACAACCTAGGTTGCTTAAACATTTCTATGCAAATAAAAATGTAAGAAAAGTACGTATTATTATTATTATTATTACGCTATAAAAAGTAGAGGTAGATTATTATTGAGAGTCGTAATATTTATTACAAATAATAGGGCTATATTCCGTAACTATCAGATATTCACAGCCTTAAATAGTAGTTCAGGTACATCATGTTCGTCTCCAGGCAGTCGTCTTCTGTTGTCCTTTTGTGTCCAGCGTGGCCTCGCGGGCCTCAGATCGGTGTCTGTTCCTTACTGCCGTTCTCTCAGCCAGGGCACGTGTATTGGCTTTTAGGGACACAAATTTGGCCGTTAAACAGGTGATCCACTGGACAAGTCAAGAATGTTCTCATTCCTTTCACGCAGAAGTAGTATCTTTGACAGCCGGAACCTAATTGAACGAAGAAACCATTGTGCTCGCAGTATTTGCCGCCGTTCTCAATGATCTCCCGCGGCGGGGCTCCGCATTTGTGGGTTGAAGGGTCGACGCAAGCGTGCCCGTCGAAAATCTTGCCTCCAAGACATGAGAATGTTGCGAGTCGATCACCACCCTCGCAGTAAAAGTATCTGAAAAGTATGATTTTTATTATACATATAATGCATATTTATTTATGTCCATGTTAGATTTTTTTCGGGTGGGCAGCAACCATAAAAGTTGATGTTATATTACATAATTATGCCTTTAATAAAAACAAAGACTTCATTAATCAATTTCATTAATTTGATAAATGTGAATTTTTATACAAATAATCCGGACGTAAGATGGAATGTCTAATGATATTTTGTGTTCATAAATAAGAGGACAAATCTTTATAATAATTAAGTATGGGTTATGAATGAATATACCTATGACATCCGGTTTTAATTTCAGCGTGATATCCATCAGAGAGGCTGGAACACGAGTAATCGTCCACCGGACAAACGCCAGGCCGGGCTGGCACACAGGATTCGCCGTCAAAAACGCGACCACTTGCACACGCGTAGATTGCTTTCTCACCGGCTGTACAGGTGTAGTACCCGCGGCATCCTTGTGTGTGTTGCCCGCGGTACCGCCCGTCTGGACGGCCGTAGCACGAATCTTCGCCTAGACTAGGGCATAGGTAATTTTCCATTGATGTACATCTCACACCATCGAACACATATCCGGGTTCGCATGCTAGCATAGTGCGCATGGATCCTTCACAGTGAAAATAACGAGTACAGTTCGATTCCAAGTCTTGATATGTACCACTGGGAAGCCCTTGACACTCTAGTCGTCGTTCTGGGCCTTCACACACAAATGCGTTTGTCGGCACACATGTAGTACCATTGAATACAAGTCCCGGTTCACAAAATCCTCGAGCGACTACTCTTTCTCTTCGGCATTCGAACCACGATGAACAGTCCCGCCAGTCCCGGTATAAACCATCAGCCCAATTGTAGCAAGGACTTCGTGCTGGTGGGGGACATATAGTGCGAGCTGCTGGTTCGCACCCGTTACCAGAAAATAATAAGCCGGGTTCACACACACCACGTCGTATAACTCGCCTCGCCTCACACACGAAATATTCGCGGCAGCCGGTTACACGGTCTGCATACGCGCCATCTTTTGCTTGATGACATAACGATGAACATGCTTCATCCGAACAAAAGTCAGCGTCACCAGCCGGCAAAGGAATGGCGGCAGAGCGCGGCGCTGGACAAGAATCCACACATGTACCACCAGCACACGAAAAAACACCACGAAGTTCGGCTCCGCGACACACCAACATGCGACGACACTCGTGCGAGGAATCCGGATATTCACCATCAGTTAGTCCGGCACATAACGGTTCGTAGCACGTACCAGCTCCACGCGTACAAGCTTGTAATTCGAGGTCGAACCATGCACCAGAGGGGCAGGAGTGGTCGATAGCTGTGCCGTTTTCACAGCGATAGTAATGCCGACACGCAGTTCCGGGAGTAGCGTAGGCGAAAGTATCTCTGGGTGCACATTCCCGTCGGATGCAGGGTTGCCGTCGGCGTGGCACACATGCACCTGCTAACTCGCTGAATACACGATCCGGGCCACAGGTGTAGCGTCCTTTTACTATACCCCCGGCACATTTCACATATTCACGACAGTTTTTGTCATAATCCGCATAGAGTCCGTCTCTATGGCATGGTATTATTTCCGCATCTGGAAATAGAGATTTAATTGTTTTAGCATTATACTGAAGGTAATAATGATAATTTATTTTGCACAAATAGATTATAGTATCAAGTATTATTATAAGTTAAAAACATGAATAAATTTTCAACGATAATTATTAAAAAATCTGTAATTGGAATTAAAAAGTAAATTTAATAAAACTAAATACACATAAATGATTTAGTAAATTATTGTGTATTTTATGTTAATATTGAAAATATATTAAAAATCTCGATACTTACTAATAAGTTGCGCGGCGACGACTATTGCGGCGAATGCGCGAAGCGAAGCAGGCGCACGCGCAGACATGTCGGCTGCTACTGATGGAGATGAAGGCGCGCGGCGAGTGTGACGCAGGCCCTCGCTGCCGGTTCACACCAACTGGATGCCAGGGTTCCTTGACATTCGCACGCCTCCGCCGCAATCTGATCCCTGCGGTGGCCCGGATGCAGCCTTCGCATTAGGAATCTAGACACGCCTTGTTTATCGGGTGGCTGCTGGCTGCTTGAGTAAAAATGAACGACGGTTCACTTTGCTGGTAGCTCGCTGACCATGAACTTTGTCATCTTCTTCGAGTTACGTAACATCAATCAGGAATATGCGATGAATGAAACGAGATTCTGTTACCACGTCTTGTTTTATATTAAACACTCGAGTCTCGAATCTAACGTTGATTTCATAATATACGATTAATTAATATCAAGATCCGGTAGAGCAGTTAGTCAGTTAGGTAAATGTCGGCGACTGGCAGCTGTTCAATAACGATATTTTTAATTAAATAGTTACTTATCGATTATGGCTTTTGTTATAATATGCGGATATTCTCTGTCTAAAGGTTTAGTGGGGATTGATATCATTAACACTAAAGAGGGCAATTATGCCAAAGTTGTAACATATCTGTACGTGTTAACGTATTTAGTCATATTTGTCATTGTTATCTATACATATAATAAAAGTGTAGAGGTCGAATGTCTGTACATAGAAAAAAAAAAACGCTAAAAACCGAGCCAAGGGGATGTTAGAATTGGAATAAAAACATCCAATTTTTTTTTATTTTTTGTTTCGTTGTCTGTTTGTCTGTTTGTACGGGCTAATCTCCGAATCTGTTGGACCGATTTAAATGAAATTTTGCATGGTGGTACATTAGATCCTTGGTCAACATTTCAGTTACACATTACTTTTAATCGCGGAAAATTAAAGAGTTCCCGTGGGATAGTTAAAAATCTATAGTAACTTATATAGCTTAATACACAACCTACTTCAGTAAAATTATTTTGGCCTAAGGAAAAGAGTGAGAACGAAACAGTACAAACATCGATACATACTAAACAGGAATAATAAATACTACGCGGACAAAGTCGCGACCAGTTAGGAAAAAAAATTAGGGGTAAATCTAAGTATTTTTTTTATGCAATTTAAGACGGCACACAAGCAAACGGCCCACCCCAAAGTGATAACCGTCATTTACAGATATGAACGAAAGTGAAAAGTATAAAAAGTGGACTTTAAAGCGATTTAGTACACAATAAAACAAAACTTGTCCTACGTTTTAATCAAGGATCTATCCATCTATATCTTAATTATTGAAGATTAAGTCACAACTTACACATGTTTCATTGTGGTACACCATCTAGAAATTTAGGTTGAGGTCTATTCATTCATTAAAAAAAGTTCATTAAAGGCACTGTCTATAGACGAAGGCTTGCGTTTTCTACTAATTTACCTGATATATATTTTGGTTTCGTAAAATCTGATTTCTTTGTCAAATATTATATCTAAGACCTATGTACAACTAAAGTCTAAATCTGAGAATTTTAAGTATTAAATATCGATAAAATTAAATTATGACAATTAAATAGTAATTACTACAAATGAGAGTATCGTGGCTCAGTAATATGTTACTATACTTAATTATAAAACACGAAAGTCATAAGTTTGAAACTGGCCAACTAATTCTCCAGTAATGGAAGACACCGATAACAAACTAAATCAGAGTGACTGTGGCAGGCTGGGCTTATGCTACGTTGGATTCTTATATACTCAGTGAAATGTGGGCATTCATTACTATGTTAACTGTCGACAAGTACCTTCGTCTACTCCGTAAGGGATTATAGACATGAGCATATATATATATTTTTTTTTATCATAAACGTACAGATCCTTTTATATCGAGACCTTGGAAGGGTAGCCACCTATGCCTCGCACGACGAGATACGTTCGCGAGGCATCCGACTTATTTTTTATTTTTGTACGTTGAATCGCCTAATTAACTATTCCGCTGTCGTACCCGTGGGAAACTAGAATAAAAAATTAAATAAAAAAGTCGGATCATGTCGAAACGTAATAATAAATCTGTAGTAGGTATCTACCGAGCTGGTACCTCTGTGAATCCGCAAAGGCATATGAATAGTTCAATATTGATATGCATTGGTTAAGAGCGTTCACACCGAAACTTACCGAAGTGTGGTTGATGACTAACTATTTAAAAATGTTTCGATTGCGATCTAATATGCTATAAGATTCTTATTGTTACAAAAAATTTTAATTTTGAATATAATTTTTTTTAATAACTTCAGAAGTAAAATATCAATTGTTAGATTCAAATGTAAATTATTCGATCTATAATGCTATTTCTTATTGTTACAAAAATACCCCCAAACGGTGGTAAAAAAAAATTTGTAAACTTCAGAAGTGAAATATGAAGTGTCAGATTTAATATTTATTTACATTTTACTTCATCAAAATAATAAATACAGTGAATTTTAGAGAAAATTTATACAAAAAGCGACCTCATCACTAAGTAATATCAATTTAATTGCAACTTATTCCGTTTTAGTTTGTTATCAGATCACTTTTTAAATAAATACAAATATTAAAATTAGTTGAATTGTTTTTGAAAATCTACAGATAACTCGGAGGTTGTCACACTTCGGTAAGCTACGGTATGAATACTCTTAATTACTTATTTTACGTAATGTAAGGTAATCGCATACGACGTTAGTATTTGACATTGAAGTTGCTTCATATTATATATGTAACGTCACAGCGCTCGCCATCGCTGTTTACAGCGGTCTATTAAATGTTTATTTTTTGTGCTATTGTTTATGTGCAACACAGTTTCATTATCATTGTTATTAAGTTTCAAGGTATCTTCTAAACGTTATCATAAATGGAGTTGAAAATAATTATTGATTTTATATACTATAGAAAAATGTTATAATTTATGGAGGAGCATTCTTTCCGTATGCGTTTGTGCGTAACAGACGAAATTGTTGAACTGATTCTGTATTAATGAAAACTGGCATGATGATTAATGTATTTTATACCAGCAGTATCCTATGACTTTACCCTCATGAATCAACATAAGGTATCCTTTGAGGTTAGTTAGGATATAACCTACCCGTGTACCAAATTTTATTCAAATCCATTCAGTAATTTTTGCATGAAACAGTAAAAAACATCTATCCATCCATCTATCTATAGTTTTTTAAATTTCGCATTTATTATATTAATAAAAATAGTAGGATATAAATAATAGGATCTACTGGCTAAGACTATACAAGACATGAAAATTATTTGATCAATTTTAAATATTCTTGATTATTTTGTTGACAATGTAATAAAAATTATTTCAAAATTATACCCATCTTATGCCTGGAAAAACAATTTAGAAGTCATTGTTCCATCAAATTTTTTTTCTTTCTTTTAATTTTTGCATGCATTTAAGATGCATGGTTACCTATCACCTTAGTACTTAGAAATGCACGAAAAATAAGTACTAAGTCACAAAATATTCTTACTTGTTATTTTAAGTTGTATAAAAACATTTTCTTTATGAATAGCTAACTGCAACTTTAGGTATAAATAGGCACCTAACTTATTATATGCATTTCGTAACAAGAAAAAATGCATTTCGAAAAGGTTACTTTATGTTTCATTTAACCTACTTAGAAAAAATTATCGTCATTTATAAAGGCTGTTCAACATGCAAGAATGTGTGGAATGAAGTCACATGAGTGAGCGTAGTTATGTTCGCTGATTGCTGAATATCGCTGCGGGGGGACATTTAACTATGTCATTACACTTTAGGGTATGTTAAACAAAATTCCTGTTTTATATAATCCATGGAACAATATACTAATGGGGGGAGGGGGAAGGGATTGTTAGTAATGGAGACTGAGAATCCCATTGCTAGCAATATACCCAACCAAGTCGACCTCCTTGCAGTTCCCCCTGGAAACTATCATGGTTAATTCCTGATGAATTCATCATGATGGGCTAACTGGCCTGTTTTCATTCTCATCTATCACTCTTCACTGGTGCTCCGCCAGCGTATCCCGTTAGCGCAGGTGGGGCTACCATACCATTTTCACCCATCAAAAAAAAAAATACTAATATAACAGTTACTACAACCAAATAATACTTGTGACACCATAGAAGTAATTTAACTATTATTTATGTTCACGCCGTATGATCCTAACATAGAATGGGCCATTTCCCGTGGGTGTTGTAAGAAGCGAGTGAGGTTACTTAATGGTCGAGGGATGGGCAGCAGCGACCCTCTTAAAACATCACCAAAGCCTAACTACAGTTGCCAATCCGCCTGCCAAGCGTATCTACTAATGTATCAAATGTTGTTAAATGCTGTCATTCTTAGGATAGGTGACCCTGTAGCGTGTTAATTCGCTCTATACATAAATTCACAGATATGACACTTTGTACAAAAGTCGATTGCTTGGGTACCTCTGTCCCATTCGTGTTTCTACCGTGAAGCAGTTGTGTTTGCATAGCTGTGTTTGGTTTGAAGGGTGGGATATGGCGTGAATTTACAGGGTACAGAGGAATAATATCTGAGTCCTCAAAAATGGCAACGCATGGTATCATGGGCGAAACAGTATACTCTATTATTTCCATGGTACTGCTCATGTCTCTAGGCGACGGTTACCACTTTCCATCAGGCGGGACGTTAGCTTGTTTGCCATTCTAAGTTGTATAAAAAAAATGTGAAAACTAAGCGTGCCATATTTAAATTATTTTCGGTAATGTTACAAAAACTAGGTATAGTAGGCAAACGCGCTTCTGCACTGAACTATTAAAAAAAAAAAACAATATCCATTTCTTGATTTAAAAATACAATCATTAAAAAATAGGTAGCTACTTACTATTTATAATTCTGCTATAGTTAATCCTATAATTTTTTTTTAACATAAATTTCACATAGCAACTCGAATTGAGTCAAAAGTAGTTAGGCAACTTGATAAACTTTTTTTATTTAGGCCTATTTAGAGAAGCAAATTGATATGCAAGTACGAAATTACAACATCTATTGAATACTACGTTTGTGTGCG